GCCACGGACTCACTCTTCCTTATCTAAACTACAACTAATTATTTCTCTCGTATCTATGCAACTTATCTGGTAAAGCATAACCCGTCTGGCTGGGCCATGACACAAGGCAGTTACAAGACACAGTACTAGCCACACGTTAACATACTTAAACAATTATGGTAGTTACTATTGAAGTGGTTAAATTTATAATTACATTGAAATATTTAAATATTTATAATTACTAGTCAGAGTAAGAGATTTAGGAAGAAAGGATTAACGTTGCGTATTTTGAGACAAAGAAAATGTCCATTAACGGATTGATGAAAGTATTGGGTTAGTAAGAATATGAGACTTTTTAAAAATTAATAGAAATAGCAAATGCGCTACTTAAAAGTGGTGATAGAATTATAGAAATTGGAAATAATTTGTTAGAGAGCGTTTATAATTTTGTTAGGAGAATTAAACCTCTGAAGAAAATGGCAATAAACTAATAAATTTATAAATAACTTTATTTTTATTCCATTTAAAAAGCTTATAAGTGAGAGAGTGTATTAAAATTGTGAGTGGATTTATAGCGAAGCTATCTCCAAGTTAGCCTCCCAACTACCTGATTTCTGGCATTGGAGACCCCCTTCTGGGTATTTCCAGCACTCCCCAACCTTCTGGCACGGCAATACACACACATCACTCAATCATCAATTCTGCACGGTCAATCTGACACATCTTCGCTTCCTGCCCCAAGCTTCCCCACGGCAGGTACGTACCTCTTCATCTAGCGCCAGAATCCAGCCAATGGCGGCTAACATGTCGATAAGAACGCATGACCCATTTGACATTCGCTCTCCCCACCAGACAGGGATTTCTGCGGTTCACTTGGCAGTTCCAGGTCCCTGGGCCTGTCGCTAAAACTCCTTGCTTCCCTGCTTCTTGCCGGATTGGCAACCGCTGCCATACCATTCCCGCCATTCTCGAAGTTGTGGTTTCGCACCATCCCCAGGCTTCCGTCGCAGAAAAGACAGTCGCCAGCCTAGCGCACCTCGGCCCAGACAAGATCAACCGCCCCATCCCCACGACATCATCGCGACCGATCCCAAGAGCGTTGCGATCTATGCTTATTGCATCTGCGTAACGGAAAGCAAACATCTCGGCAGAGCATGACGCGAAGCTGACGCGACCCTACGAGACATCGCATCGATTTCCATTTACATAGACAAGCTCCGGCCCAGCTTGGTCTTCCGTTCTGCGCGGCATCCACTCGCATCAAAGCAGCATTACCTATTACCGATAAACTTCAACAGTCATGAGTGATCTGGACAGGTTAGTGCCCCTGCGCTCTGACGACCGGGCATACGAACTCCCGCTGGCGACCTTCCTTCGTGATGCCTGACCTCTTTGGATAGGGCGATCGCTCAGCTGCGAGCATGCCGGCCAATACCAGAATCAGACGTCCGCGAACTCTGTCATAAGGCACGAGAAATCTTGATTGAAGAAGGGAATGTCGTCACAGTTAATGCGCCGGTAACGGTACGTCTCAAGCTTATATAACCGAAATGAAGACGCCCCGAATCTGACCAGGCGGCAACAAGATATGCGGAGATATTCATGGCCAGTTTCACGATTTGATGGAACTATTCCGCGTCGGCGGCGATCCTCCCGATACCAATTATCTGTTTATGGGTAGGGTTGTCCTTGGCTTGTCCTTCCTACCACTCAGATGTCATCGAGCTGACTCTTTCGTTTTCGGATACCAACAGGCGATTTCGTTGACCGCGGCTTCTACTCGCTCGAAACTTTTTTACTTCTTCTCTGCCTCAAAGTTCGATACCCCGACCGCATGACGCTCATTAGAGGCAACCACGAATCACGACAGATTACGACGGTGTACGGGTTCTACGACGAGTGCTATAGGAAATACGGCAGTGCAAACGTGTGGCGCTACTGCTGCGATGTCTTCGACTATCTTGCCTTGGGCGCTATCGTTCTCGGGGCCTCCAACACCATCTCACCAAGTGCCGGGGAATCCAGTATACCAACAACACCTGAAGGGGACGAGGTGGAAATCGAGGTGTGCAACGCACAAGGCGAAGTGATGAGCAGGTTTCCTCGACCCAACAACGGAACAAACAACGATTTACAGAGCAGGACCAACGGAATACCACCACCGAGTAATACGGGCCCCCCTGGTTCAGGGGCATCGGGATCAAGCAGAGGAACAGTGGGCAACCCAGCCGGCGCCGTCCTATGTGTGCACGGCGGTCTCAGTCCACTGATAGACAAGGTTGATAAGATCAGGCTTCTCGATCGAAAGCAAGAGGTTCCTCATGAGGGTGCTATGTGCGACCTTTTGTGGTCTGATCCGGACGAGATTGACGGTTGGGGGTTGTCGCCTCGTGGTGCCGGCTTCCTGTTTGGAGCCGATATCGTCAAGGTGTTCAACCATCGCAATGACCTCAGTCTGATTGCCCGTGCCCATCAGCTGGTCATGGAAGGGTTTAAGGAGATGTTCGATGCCAGCATCGTTACCGTTTGGTCGGCGCCAAATTACTGCTACCGATGCGGAAACGTTGCTGCACTTCTTGAGTTATCGGAAGACGACTCGGGTTTGGGCGTGCTCGCCCGCAGTAACGGGGATGTCAATCGCAGTGATGGCGGTGGAGGAGGGCTCGGGGACAGTGAGCCGCAACCGATGAAGGGTCCAGCAAGGCGCTACCGCGTCTTCCAGGCGGCCCCTCAGGACTCAAGGGGCATGCCGGCTAAGAAGCCGGTTGCCGACTACTTTCTGTAAACTGGCTTCTGAGGATTATTGGAATACGTTGTGGACTCTATGCTCGGTCCCTCAAAGGACGAATGGGACGGCGTGGGATAAGACGTGTCAAATTTGCGTATCATTTTGGGATATTATACCCCAGCGTCCTGGGTTTTGCGCTTAAAGATTTTGGTTGTTCGGAAAACGCAGGAAATAGATGTGGAATGTCATGGTCCGGTGAACACTGGCATAAAGTGCGCGGGTCAAAAATGACTGGGTTTAAACCAAGAATAATTGCCCAATAGATATGGCACCTCAATATGCCCTGTCCATGAAAGGCGTGATTCAAAGATGAGTTCTTACCTGTACCTGTTTTGTTGTCGGCAACCATATGTAGTCCGATACTGATATGTCACCATTGCATGTTGGGGAACTTTTATGGGGAGATTCGGAGCATGAAGAGAAGAGGTTGGACTCATCGACGGCAGCTCCGAGCCTCCGACCCGGTATGATCGGGTTCGGATAGGGCTCCCCGTCCGGTGCGGGTCCTGATTTTAGGTGGCTCCCGGACGAGGTCACCGTACCCGCCGTCCCGGAAGCTTGAGCCCGAGTCATAAACTGACCGAAAAGCTCCGCAGAACCAGGAACTGAGGTCCGTGGAGGCCCACCTCGACTAAATAGACAGTCGAGGTTTCCACTCAGCTTACAAGCTGTTGTTGTTTACACCAAAACATTGCGAAAGGCATGATTGAGGAATGTTCACGATTCAAAAGTCACAAAAAGGGGCTGCCCTTCGCGACTTCACACGCCGCCCGAAAAGTTGAAACGGTGAGAATGATATATCACCCCTCTATGATCCTGAACCAAACTGAACCGCATCAAAGTCAGCTTAATCCACGATGTAGCCAGGCTTTAGTTCTAGAGCACCAGCGCAAAACAGACAACGGACGGATGGTAACCGACGTTCGGTGTGTTCCAAATATTGTTGTATTACTACCGCCACCGGCCGGCCTCGCCCAAGCCAAGATGTCCCGTTATTCCATCAAAGCCTTTTGGAAGCCATATGTACTGTTTCACCGACGGCCGGCGCGGCAAGAACGTATGCTTGCCAAATCTACTTCTTCTCCTGCGCCGTCCCATTTTCCTTTTGCGCCCGCTCGTGCTCGATAATCTGTCTGCTCCAGCTGGTGTAGGGGTGAAAATCGGCGCGTCAGCTCATGATGATCTCCGCGGTTTTGGGCGCACGCGACAACATGACGTTGCGCATGTATAAACCTGCAAGGGGATTCTGAAACATACTATCTGCTGGGATAGAAGCGACCAGGCTCGGGCATCTTGTGACGGTACTCCTTCTCAGCGCTAAGCTTCCAGACTGCGGCAGTGATGAGGAAGACGACGCCACCGAGGGCAGCCGTGTTCTTCTTCCAGTTGGCGGGCTGAGCATACCAACCACCCGAAGGCGACCAGACGTGCTTGGGGTAGCTGGAGGTGAAGGCGAAAGGCAATGATTAGGACGGATCAATGACACGACACGGCGCTCGGTTGGACGGGATGCGCGGAGGGTTTGCGCATGTCGAGGGACGATGAAACTCACGGAACTCTAGGACCGCCGCCCTATAGATGGGAAAGACAGTTAGCAAGCGCAAAACATGGTAGTGGTATGATGACTATTTCCAGCAACTGGATGGGTACGCACCATTGTGATGGAATTTTGGGGGGATTTGGTGAGGTGAGTTGACTTGGACGTTGGACAAGGATTCCTCCTCGCAGTCAAACAAGGCCGGTTTGTATCGTCGATGAACAGCGGCAGCAATGATGGTGATGATACAGCAGGGACCTATTTACATAGAAAGGACGAATGGTTAATCCGCCTAGGCTAACGAGGGGGCCTGAAAGTCACTTTGTCGTCCTAACCAGGGCCGAGGGCGCATACGGCAGGCGAGCGGCGGGCAGCTCCCGCTTGTCCACAACGGTGCACCGCATGCTAAACAGACAGTGCAGATTTGTGGATCGAAGTTGAAGATGGAGCTTGTGGAGACCCCTCACTCGGGCAACAACGAATTATGTCAGCCGGTTTTTATGGCTCGGTTTTGGGGGAGTGACCCCTGCGCTTGAGCACTGATTCACGGCTGTGGGTGGTGGGCTTGGGTGGGCTCTACCGTGTGGTGAGCGTTCAGATTGGAGAACTTTTTTTTACCCGTGTTGACGGCCGGCCGAGTCTGAACGAGAACCCATCCGATCAACGCGCGACTCCGACCGGGACCCCGAGCAGCTTCCCACCCCGCGACCACCGGCTCACCACCTGCCCGTCCGATTTCCCTCACTCCATCCTATCCTTGGCAGGGCCTCCAGACGGCGCACACATACGGAACCTGGGCCCCCAGCACTTGTCAACAAGCCGGTTGTCGAGCCGACCATCACCCATAAAATATATCGCCCATGAAGAGGATAGCAACGCCCAGCTTGACGAGCCGGCTGCTCGTCGCCGCTCGCTCCGGAGTGTCGCCCGCCACTGCCGCCCTCCGATCCCGATCCGCAATCTCGGTACGGTCGCAATCGACTGCCGCCCTCGCCCAGCACGATGCATCCCACAACCTCAACAATGACCGGTTCCCCCCTCTTGAGCCCCTCCCCCCCGCGGCCGAGTCCCTACCGTCGCCCCTCCCCGAACGGGCCTTGACCTCGGCCAAACTGGCCGCCCTCCACGCCCGTTTGAACCTCTCTCCCAAGATCCCCCTACAGACATTGGCAAGGACACTGGTCGACGCCTCGGCCGACGAGAACCCGCAGTTCAACAACGCCAACCTCGCCTTCGTTGGCCAGACCCTCATCAACTACCACATTGCCGAATGGCTTCTCTGCAAATACCCCCGCCTACCCCAGGGAATTCTGTTCAGTGCCATGAAGGCTTATGCCGGACCCAAGCCCTTGCTCCAGATTGCGCGGTCATGGGGTGTTGATACCGCCGCGGTGCCCGGCGGCGAGGTGGATCCCGGTCTTCTGCAGTTCGATGCCCTCAAGCCGGGCGTCTCCATCACAAATTTCGGCTACAAGCGTACGGAGCTCGCCTACCTTGAGAAGTTCAAGTGGCGCCGTGGTATGGCCTCGCGTGTCGTTCTCGATGACGACTTTGGTGATGTCGTGCGCAACGATCCCAAGGTTGCCGCCGACCTGGAGAAGGCGATGGAAGAGCAGGACCAGGACAAGGACAAGACTCCCGACGAGGAGGAGGCCGAGATCATGGCCAACGAGCAGGACCAGGACGTGAGCTACGACCGCTATGGCAACCCCGACACCCGGGCCTCTGCCGAGCGCGCCCACGCTCACTTTGTGCGCGCCGTCGTCGGCGCTATCTACGCCCACTGCGGCCGCGAGGCCGCCAAGGCCTTCGTCAAGGGGCACATCATGTCGCGCACCCTCGACATCGCCAAGCTCTTCGAATTCAAGTATCCCACCCGCGAGCTCGCCGCGCTCTGCGCCCGTGAGGACTTCGAGCCCCCTGTGGCTCGCCTCGTTTCTGAGACGGGTCGCCAGTCGCGTACCCCCGTCTTCGTTGTCGGTATCTACAGCGGCAGCGACAAGCTCGGCGAGGGCGCCGGCGCCTCTCTCGACCACGCCCGTTTCAAGGCCGCCATGAACGCCCTGAAGGCCTGGTATCTCTACAGCCCCGGCGAGAACCCTCGGGTACCCAGCGACATGCTGGAGGAGGGTGCTAAGCCCTGGACACCAGCATACATCGATATGGGTGAGGTTATCTCCCGCTAAGCGAGGACCGATGCGGCGCAGCGCAAGGCGGGCGCGGACGGGGAGAATTAGGAGAGACTATGGGAAGTGTCTGAACTCAACGGGGATAAGAGACAAGCAGCGCGCACTTGAACTCATCATGTTGTGCAGCTCATCAATTCGGTTAGATTATACCCGATATGAGAACAGCGCAAAAAGAGGGTTTATTGGGAAAAGTCAACGAGTGGATGCTGGTGGTGTGGTCTAGAAAAGCCCGCCTACTTGTCCTGTTTTGTCTTGACCTGACATTGGGCAATTGTCGTACGGAGGAGGTGGTGTGAAACGGATGAAATCAATTTCATCCTGTTTTTTCCCCCCCCCTCCTCCGTCTAACCGTTTCCTACTCTTCTTCACCGGGACGAGATGTTGTATACAGATTTGCGCGCCCAACGGACATACATGCATTTTAAACACACACAGACGCGCATACACGCACGCCCCCGTCACATATACCAATACAAGGGGGTTGTTGGGAGGGGAACGGGATTGGAGAGGAAGATTCCAAAGAATCATTTGGCTGGTTTTTGGTTGGCTGCCTGGCTTTGCTTTCGAGTTGGAGACAGAACCATGCGATGAAGTGTGGCTCTGTTTTGTTGCTCAGTGTATAATATCAAAAAAGTAGCCGGGGCCAGGGAGATAGAGGGAAGAAAGGGAGGAGAATCATTTGTATGTGTAGCATTAAGAAGTCAAATTTTTACGAGGCATCAACGAAGTACATGACATGACTAATCTATCCGTCCTCTACGTACTCAGGCATGATAAGACTTCGTACACACACCAGCTCCGTAAGTAGAAGAGAAAACTCAAACACACCAAGGTTCATAATTTATACTTTTCCTACCTACCAACCCGTCGAAAAGTAAGGCAAAGGAACGCAAAATCGGCAAGAGCAAGATAGGAGACCACTTCCATTCACCTGATCCAGGCCAGAGCTGGTAGAGGTAGCCACTACTTAGAGGTAGGAACCTCCTTCCTTTCTGCCATCTTTCCTTCCACCTTTCCTTCCATTTTTCCTTCCATCTTTCCTTCCATCTTTCCTTCCATCTTTCCTTCCATCTTTCCTTCCATCTTTCCTTCCATCTTTCCTTCCATCTTTCCTTCCCACCTGCCCCGCTTCTACCAGCGAGCTGCCGCCCCTTCCAAGTCCCCGTCACTTGCCTCGGGGTAGGTATCTCTATGGTACATCAACCTACAGATAAGGAACTCTTGAGCTCTTTGCAACACTGCGCTCGAATGAAGAAAATGAAACCAGCACACAAAAGAGATAATGAAAACAGAGAAAAAGCGCGGTTGCTGCAGTACAGTGTCCCAAGCACATCGCATCGCACGGTCTGCAGTGGTTCAAGGGTTGAAATCCCCGACGAGTCGGGCACCTTTGTCAAAGACCGACGGGAGTCTATGGTCAATGTTTAGAAAGAAGATGAGTATCTACCTACTGGGTGAAGAAGACCTGGGCTCGGTTCGAATCATGGACCACGTTAGATGTCACGGTATCTCTTCAGTTGTTTTTTTTGTTTTCATTTTCCGCCTGCTTCTTGCACCTTTTCATTATTTCGTGTTTGCGTAAGGGAGGATAGGATAATGAGCTTGATCAGAGTGAAGACAAGAAGAGCAAAATGTTACCCTTACCATATACAATAGCATGCTTACTGTTTCATCCCTTAGTACGCTTTTTGGAGGCTTAACCTAAAGACATCCACAGATTTGTTTACAAATCCACAACTTATCAATCACGAGCTCGGTGTGTCTTGCAAAACCAGAAGTGACATGGTTTCAGAGTTGCATGAACAGGAAAGTGAAAGCATAAACGATCAAGGTAATCAGTCGCTTAGGCTTAGTGTCCATGTAGGAAACTTAAAAGTGCGGGTTAGGTTTTGTGTACAAAGGGAAGCTTGAGTTGAAAACTGTGCTCTACTCATTTCAGCACAACGAACATTAGGTATCTCTTAAGGCCTCACTCATCCTCCATGGCATAACTTCTCTGCCATGGCAATCCTACTTTTGGGGTATAAACCATCCGTCTCAATCACATTCGTCGTCGTCATCCATCCCGTGTTTTGTTTAGCTCGCTCAACTGAAGTGATCCCCCTCTGCCAGCGCACGCTGAATCCCCAATTTAGCCCTTCTCTTCTCCCTCTCCTCTTGCATCCTCTTCTCCATCTCCTCTCTCCTCCTCTTCTTGCGCTCATACACAGCCCTCACCGTCGCCCGAATCTTCTCCTTGCCCTCATCATAGTTCGCCCTCGCGAGCGCCACAACTTGGTCGACCTGCTCCGGCGTGTACACAAAGTTCCAGGTGCTCATGTAATCGCTAGAGGCCGGGTCAACGGAACCGGGAACCTTCTCGTTGGCGAGGAACGGCATGTACACAACCGCAATGCCGGCGTCCGGCTCCATGAGCTTCCACGACGAGCTATCGTCCAGCGGAGGCGGTGGAGGGTCGTTGGTACGTCGCTCCTGGGTCGTGCCGACCCAGACGGTGCAGTAGCCGAGTTCGTTGGCGGTGTGGTCGTATTTCTCCTGCTGGCTCATCAGGCTCGTGTCGGTGCCTCCTCCAGGCTTGACGTTGGGGTCATCAGCATGCTGGCGGGCTTGTTTGGCTTTGGCTTCGGCAATCTTGCTATCGGCTTCGGCCTCTGTGGATTCTTCGGCTTCCTTTAACTCCTTGGCCGTAGTAGAGGGCGATGCAGATGGCTTGGGCCAACCGGCACCTATTGGCCACCCCTTGATACCCCGTTGCTTGGCATAACCCTCGACAACGGAGAGCCAGTTGTCCGTCTTAATATCGGCTGAAGCATCGAATGCGACAATGATATCAACGTTGCGACCAGGTCGCAGTAGGGGATAGATGGGGAGGTTATTGGACATGCCGGAGTCCATGAGTTGGATATAATCGGAGTCGTAAGCGAGACGAGGAACGGTTCTGGGAAGTTTGCCGTTCATCCCGTGGATGAAGTTAGGGATAGTTGCCGGGTCGATTGGATGAACCTTGCTGAGATCATCATTGTGACCCCAGATCAAGTTGTCTACAGCCTGGAAACCACCAAGACTCTGGACCAAAGGACGAATTTCCCGGTAGTAATGGCTCAATGTTGCGCAGAAAGCACTGCCCCATATCCCCAAGAGTACGGGCAACCGAATTTCGGGAAGATAGAAGCCCTCTGTCGTAGGCAGGTTGACGCCATTTTGGAATCTCCTGCCCATAGCCCACGTAGGAATACCAGCCGCAAACTCTTCGCAGAAAAGCTCAAACGGGGTCATCTCAAACCATTGGAACCATGCTTCTTTCTTTGCCTGAGCCTTCGCCTCCTCCGAAGCATGAGACTGTTCGTTGCCGCCGGCATCGTCAAGTTCCGGAATCTCGTGGCGCACGGCTGTATAGATGGGCATGGGATTTTGTCCGTAGCGAATGTACTCTTGCTGGTTGGAAAGCTTAAAGTCTTTTGCGTTAACGCCAAGTTCACCCTTGGGAATGAACAGCCGAGCTGCTAGCAGCATCCCGTAAGCGTCCACAAGCCCAAAGTCGGCTTCTGGATCGCCCTTCAGCTTTTCCACCATGGCAGTCAGTAGTAGCTTGTTCGTAGGGGCAGACAGGATAGATGAGAAGGCAGTGGGTGGGTAGGCAATATGGACGCCGAGACGTTCTTTTAGGTGGTTTATAGTCCGCTGAAAGTCACCACCCGAAAGCGAGGAAAAATACAGAGACTGAAGCCAACAGGAACCACTGACGCCAGATGTATACGTGACAATGTCAAAGAGTCCGTCCTCGGAGGCCGCCATGTATGATCCGGTTCCAGCGACGAGCGCCCTGAGACCACCACCAGAGCCACATATGGCGATATTGGGAACGTCTTCCGGATTGATATCTTCTTCTTTGATGTCAAGGTAGTGGGCCAAGGCAACGGCTGTGATCTTTTTCCTGCGTGCCAGGAAGGCTTTCTCTTCGTCGCAGAGGTCTTCCGAAACGCGGACCTTGGCAGAGTACTGGACTTCGGGATTGACGGCGGGATCGCGTGCCTCCTCCCAGATCTCAGCGGCGAGAGAACCTGGGGCCATGTTGAGCTCACGCTGGAGCTTTCTGATATAACCAGGAATGAGTTTGGACCACTCGGGTAGGACCAGATCGACCAGCTTGTTGGACAATTTTCCTGCCTCAGCCGTGGTCACGGCCGAGATGCCCTCAAAGCCATCGACGAGTTTGGACCAGGTACCATGGTCATCGATCTTGTGAGACTCGAGCTCCCGAGGGGGGGGCTCTGTATTGCTCGGTCGGTCTGTATTGCTCGGTCGGTCTGTCTTCGCAGTCTTGTCGGATGAGTCGAAAGTCTGAAGAACATCAGCCGTCGGGTTGAGCGAGAAAAAAAGCAGGGAGCCGAGGAGTACCGCCGAGAGGGATCTAGGGACCCGGGTCTTTGACTTGGGCTTGTTGTCGCCTGAAGCGAAGAAGCTAGTTCGGGTCTGTTGGATGGGTAACAGGGAGGGTTTGGTTCTCGTGGACGCTCTCGAGGTGGCGCTATGTCGTGCGCTATGTCGTGTAAGAGATCTTGCCAGGAGAGATCGGCGACCCGTTGAAGAGATGGCGAAGGTCAATTGGCCCAGCCGCGCCATCTTCGCGGTTGCTGGGTAGGTTGCAGACCCTCCGCTGACGAGGCTAAGGGAAATGTCGAATATGCGATGCGGCGCAATGCAGGTTGAAATTGGAGTCGCCCAAGTTGAGTTGGTGTTGCGCGCAGCCTGGAATTGTGAATGGACGGGAGGGAGATAGGTAAGAACCCGAAGTCCTTATCAAAGGCAGGCCACGACACGATACTTGCTTGGTTATTGCTCCCGATCGACGAGCATCATGTTGGCCGAAAAGCGCCGGGTCCGCTTGACGACACAGGTTGGTTCTCTAACGACCTTCCTAGTCTTTCCGTCCAAGTTCCATTGTGGGCAGTTTGTATGCTGTATCGACCGGTTACGGCAGCTGATTCTACGAGCTGGAGTTTGGAGTTGATTTGTGTTGCGATTCTGACATCATAACTATGGGGCTTGGAAAGTTGGAGGGGCCGGCCGTCTGTTAGAAGGGACGGGAACAGAAGGATACAGGGAACCCAGCGATTCTACCTTCCGTCCAAGTCCGATAAACGACCGGCGGAATAGTCTAGGCACAGACGGGACGGGAGCCTTGAAGTATCAATGTTCACTTCCGTTATTTCATCGTTCTTTCGGCAAGAATGAAAGAGCTGGCAATTCACATGTCTACACCCCTTTGCCTCTATCACCCCCCCCCCTATTAGCTCAGTTGTGTCGGGAAACACTCCGGACGTTCCAACTTGCCAGGTTTTGTGTTCGATCCAACGTTCGAATTTGGAGCCGGCTGATGTGAATGTCTCAAATTTATAGCTAAACGGACGTTCTCGTCAGGGCTGTCGTCGATTCTAAAAACTTTGTATTCATCCCCTACGGTAGTCAGCAATTCCATACCTACTCTACATACCCAGCCGTCCTGATTTCAATGATCAGACGGCAGCTTATTGCCAGCAGCGCACTGCTCCACCAATAGCCGTGCGATGTGACTTCTCGGGAGCACCCGCAGTACTTATCATCCGAACCTTTGAGGATGGCTTCTTTCATCCTTTGCATACGAACCAAACTGACACCAGTGAGGAGGCTGGTGGTATATATAAGCGAACGGTGCTTGTCTCCGTCGTAGGAACTTGAAACCGAAGAAACGACAAAAGAACGAAGCGTCCAGTCCAGCCCTTCTGGATGTGGGGAAGTTGGCTCGGGCGGCTCCATCCCCGTTCGGTTGTTTTGGAGAACGGGAACTGGAGGAGCTTCCATGATGGAACTGGGGTTTCTACGCCCACGCAGGGTGTCAGACCATCAGGGGCATCTCGCGACCACCTCCACATGGGAGCCATGAGCTGGAACAGGTATGAATGAAGCTTTGAAACTTGGGAAACAGTTCAGGGCGGTAAATCCCAAGAAGCAACAAGAATTTGACAGATAGGTATGCGTCCAACTGTCCAAGCCACGCCATCCCCAGGTTTTTCAATCATGGGGTATCAAGAAGGTCCCGTCTTGTGCTTCTCTGATCCCGTCCAGGGTGTACGATGATCGACCACCGTGACGGCCTTGAAGAAGAAAAGTGGTCAATGTCGACCGCACCGATCAAAATGTCCAGCCCAACTCAAGGGACGCACACCAAAGCACGACGACAATATTTGAATGCAAGCGCCCGAGGACCAACCATACCGTAGATAGTAGCTTGACTGTAGCCACCATGTCTGTTTCATAATTAAGCGGAAGCAGACGTACAAAATAAACACACGCAGCCCATGGTAGCTGGCCTAAGTCGAGTGTAGATTCTGTAGACGCGCTCAAACATGGCCCTCCGCCCAGCCAGGCTCAGTAGGTTATGTCCGAATATCACAAGCAGCCAGCCAGACAAGCCAAGCATCAAATAGAGTTGCAGAAGCGCGAGACAAAATTCAAAATGTGAAAGTGCACCGGGATTTGGTCTCCAACAAATGCACGTAATTTAATTTTAAGGAGCTCCCTGGCTCGAAGCTCATTGTCACATCCGTGTTAGTACAGTGCGGACATGGTAAATTGAGCCGAGGCGGGCATTTAACTTGTAAGTGTTTGAGGAAAGATGGCACCTTTGTGGTTACTCCTTTCTGTTTGCTTGTCAAATGTTTGCTCTTGTTGGTATTGCGCTTTTTCATGAGCGCTTAGCGCATATCCCAAGCGCAACACGATAGTGCAGATGGCTCACAGACAAAAGGTAAAGTCCCCTTTGAGACCAGGCAGTGTTGAGTGTTGTGTTGAGGAGAACTTTTTGAGATTGGATTTCTCGAGTCCCAGAATTCGCACTCTCGTCTTTTCTCCAAATGCTGGGCTATAACCATGTCCTGGCCAATTATGTGGCTGATTGGGGTGCGACCCCTGTTTATTAGTTCCCCCTTAGCGTGTCCTTGCCAACCCGTCAGGCCAGTGGGCACTTCCCAATCCAAAGTCCAATGTGCCAGCCGGGCCACCAGCATGGGAGCGCATTACGTTGAGCCCACCCGTATTGCTTGCGTGTTTCTGGCACGCTGTGTCGGGCCTGCCGTAGGTGGCCAGCCCGGCGCCCATCCGGGTTCCAGCACCACCACCTGGCACGTCGAACTTGAACCCCTTTTGAGCTGCTCCAAACGGGACGTCGATGCAGCCAGACACGGGCAATCTAACACCTACCTACCTACCCAATCTCCATACCCACCCTGCCACCCCCATCCCGTCCATCCATCCAACCCATCCATCCATCTTCTTCGACTGAAGCCGCTCTGCCTGCTGCTGCTGCTGCTGCTTGCTGTGCTGCTGCCACACTGACTGCCGTCGCACCTCACCCAAAATTTCCCATTCTTTTCTACCGGCAACAACTCAGCATTCTCCCCATCATCACATTCTTCATTTCGTACCTTACCTTTGGCACTCTTTTCGTATTCATACGCGATCCAGCGTTACCTTTCAGATTCACCGGCCAATTGCCTTAGGATTCCGTACCAGGCGCCGCCCCATTGACAACTACCCAACCTTTGACAATACTTACGCGAACCATAGAGGTATCTACCTACCGGCTCGCCTTCCTTCCGGTAAGTTGATGCTGCTTGGTCGTGATCGATGCTCTCCAGACAGACCCTCGCTCCTGGTCCGACCCACGTATCTACACTGCTCGACAGATACCGACTGCCTCTGGCTCTGTTGCTACTGCCCAGCCTGGCGGTATCTCGTGCCCTTCGTCGTCACGAGTTCCCCTCATGGTTGCCGCTGGGCTGCGCCGATACGAGACAGTCTAGCCAGCCCGTTTGTTTGCCTCCACCGCGATCCACGTTGGAGTGTTGGTGTTGGCCGCTGGCAACATCGGGCTCGCAGGGCAAGCTTAATGGGTGGGCAGTAGCCGTTCGTCTGTCCGCACGGAGAAGGAGGAAGATTCATCATGCGCTCGACATGCAACTACTAAGCTTCCGGCTCAATGACTAACTCTATCTGTTTACCCTCCAGACTTCGCGCCTTCCTTACGATCCCGAACTTTTATTTACCATTTCCATCAACCGTTCACCTCTTGACTTGACCGAAACATCAAGATCACGGTGCCTTCTGCTGCAATGGGTAAGCGCTTGCTTTCTGTCCTATACTTAACGTGCCCGTTGGAGCAAGCCGCAGGAAGCATCACCGGATCACCGACCTCTTCGTACCTTACTCCGTGTCCCATGGTCTCAACAAAACCCGACTCAGCGCCGCCCTTCGCCCACTTTCTTCTCCCTTCTCCCACCAACATCACAGCTCGTTCTTCTGATACGATCATCACATTCGTTGTCCGCTTGCCATCTACCGTTTCTTGGGAACCGCCTTTTTTGGAAGAGAACCATCTTACCACCCAAATACTTTTGTCCAAACGACTCCGCTACAATGCATTTCTCCACCATGATGCACAATGCCACTCGGGGCCGCGCCAAGAGTGTTCAGTTTGAGAAGAGCTTCGCCAGCCTCGCTGAAACCATCGATGGAAGCTCCTCGCGGGATGGTGCCGTGTCGCCCGTTCCCGTTCCCGGAACACGGACCAGCAGTTTGCCCCTTGGGGAGAACAACGAGATGATCAACAAGGCTCTACGCCGATACAAGAGCTTGTTGGAAATCGAGGACCCGGCCCCAAAGTTGCCAATGACCCAACGACTCTCGTACGACGAGCTGTATCCCAAGGCCACGGATCCGACTGTGTCTCGAGCGCTACCATCAAGGCGGCCTTGGTCCTCTAATAGTTGAGAGCTCCGCGCGCTTGACTAGATATACATTGCATACTTTTGGGCACAAGATGATGGATTATCAGGCTAACATTTGCTTCATGACAGCTTCGAACGGTATTCCCACCTCTCCTCCTGTTAGGGCGGCTCCCGTACCTCAGTCACCGACTGCCCAGCCATTGCCATCTCAGACGAAACATCAAGATGCTTCTGGTTCTGACACCGTGGGCGCAGCTCTCCCTTCTACCCTAAGCGACAACCGAAACATTGTCCGAAGGAAGCTTACGGGATACGTTGGTTTCGCCAACCTTCCCAACCAATGGCACCGCAAGAGTGTCCGCAAGGGCTTCAACTTCAATGTCATGGTTGTTGGTATGTAACTGCCTTTCTGTGCGTCGAAGGCGATTTACTAATTATAGAATTGCAGGTGAATCGGGACTTGGAAAGTCGACCCTCGTTAACACTCTTTTTAACACTTCGCTGTACCCTCCCAAGGAGCGCAAGGGACCTAGCCTCGACATTGTTCCCAAGACTGTCACCATTCAGTCTATCAGCGCCGATATTGAAGAGGCTGGTGTTCGCCTCCGTTTGACCGTGGTTGATACTCCCGGCTTCGGCGACTTTGTCAACAACGACGAGTCTTGGCGCCCTATTGTGGACAACATCGAGCAGCGCTTCGATGCTTACCTGGATGCCGAAAACAAGGTGAACCGCATGAACATTGTGGACAACAGGATCCATGCCTGCGTCTTTTTCATCCAGCCCACCGGCCACTCTCTCAAGCCCCTTGATATCGAGGTCATGAAGCGTCTTCATACCAAGGTCAACTTGATTCCCGTCATTGCCAAGTCGGATACTCTTACCGACGACGAGATTGCTGCCTTCAAGGCTAGAGTAAGTCTTCCTAGCCAGACTTGTTCTGTGACCAATGCTGACTGTTTTCTCTCTCGCATAGATTCTTGCGGATATCAAGTACCACAAAGTGCAGATCTTTGAGGGCCCTCGCTACGAGCTTGACGACGAGGAGACCATTGCGGAGAACAACGAGATCATGTCCAAGGTCCCCTTTGCTGTTGTCGGTGCGACCAACGAGATCACAAACGCCGATGGCCGTAAGGTTCGCGGTCGCCGTTACCCTTGGGGTGTGATCGAGGTGGACAACGAGGAGCACTGCGACTTCGTGAAGCTCCGCCAGATGCTCATCCGTACTCACATGGAAGAGCTCAAGGAGCATACCAACAACGTCCTTTACGAGAACTATCGCACGGACAAGTTGATCGCTATGGGCGTCTCTCAAGATCCAAGCGTCTTCAAGGAGGTGAACCCAGCTGTCAAGCAGGAGGAAGAGCGCGCCCTCCACGAACAGAAGCTTGCGAAGATGGAAGCCGAAATGAAGATGGTCTTCCAGCAAAAGGTTGCTGAAAAGGAATCCAAGCTGAAGCAGAGCGAAGAGGAGCTGTATGCTCGTCATAGGGAGATGAAGGAGCAGCTGGAGCGCCAACGACAGGAGCTCGAGGAGAAGAAGTCCCGAATCGAAAGTGGGCGGCCGATTGAGAAAGAGCCGACGAAGAGAAAGGGATTCTCTCTCCGATAATTTTGCGGCCACGACTTCGCCCGCCTCACGACTGTTTCACTGTCATGATATCCCGCATACACTTCGGCCTGCCACTTCATTCCTTCTTCTCTGTTTCCATTTGTTCATCTTCTAATCATAACCTCCTAATCCTGCGGGAGGATCCCCTCGCAAGCCAACAGACTCTTTACAGGCCCATTCATAGACGGACGGGTTCTGCTAGAAATTGTGGGCAGCCTAAAACGGCCGTGTTCCCGAAAAGCCGGTGTGTTCCGTGATTGACACGGGATTCGGTCGACTTTGTTCTTGAAAAGCTAATGCAGATGTAATTGGACCGGAGGAGTTTTTTCGAGAATCTCTTAATCTTCTTCACAATGGCAGCATGGTTCGAACAGATATATCATCTCATCTGCTTTGGAGAGTGGAGTTCCGAAAATATGAGGGAGAAAAACAAAGATAATTCGTTAGCTGTCCCCCATCCAGGTGTTCGCGGCGCAAAAACAGTCTGGCCCTCGACTCCCCTTTACGGCTGCGATTGCCCTCGCCTTCTCGACCGAGAGTCAGCGATGTTATGTCTCCGGTACCATCGCATCAAGTCGGTTAGGATGCTATGGCTGACGGGCACAAGGCGCAATTCACAGCTGAGAAACTCATAGAGGGATTGGATGGAGTCGGGTTTGAACTGTGCTCGCGACGCTAGGCGACGGGCAGGATATGCACGTTGCGAAGGGGCGTAAGGGAACAGGCGGGAAATCTCACTTGGACGAAAATCAACGAACGACCAGATATCCCACACAACACATGTATTTTATTAACTGCTTTCGTCGGCGATCAGATGTCTTGACTTCATGGGGAATTCTTGTAGGAGGTTTTTCTTTTCACGGTTTACGGTCATACCCAACCCAACATTCCCGGCCGACATTCTCACTACTGGGCTCGCTTTCCAGCCACGGGGGTTCTTTCTCACCACATAAAACATACACACACACTCAACGTGCACTTAGCCTCTCCTAGATAGTTATTTCTTAGCCTGTTTCTCTCTACCGCTTTGCAATGTGACTTGACCGTCTTGCTCGGTGTTGTGTCTGTCACTGCTAAGCCGTTTTTGAACGTGACTTGGTCGCATTTATCAAGTGCATCCTTTCTCTCTGTAGCCACGACATTCCGCTTCCGCGATGGCATTCCGTTCGGGGTCTCTGAGCACGGGGTGTGATTCATCTTCACGCCTTCGAATAGAGAAAGAAATATGTCTATGCCCCTTTTTTATATCCATCAGTTAATAGTAGTAATGATACATGTAGCGTACATCGATGCCGAAAAGGGGCAAGCAAAAAAACACAGATTGGTTCGGGTATTGGGGAACGAACAACTGTGAGTGCCCAAAATATGTACGCAGATCAACTCAGCTCGTACATGTTCCAACTTCTCGTTCTAGCACGGAGGTCGCAAGAACAACCAACCGCCCGTCCACCCCCACCCGCCACGTTCTTATCGAATCCAGGCCGGACTCTCAACCACAAGACCCAAGTCGCAGCCAGTGTGCACAAAGCACGCCATTATCCGTAGCCCAGCTTGATGAGACACCGAGTCAGCAAATTCTATGGAACGTGCCCGTGGTTCCTTTCGGAAATTTTACACATCCCTATGCGCACGCAGACACCAGAACGCGCGGGTTCCATTTGTCTTTCCCCGGATTCTGCGGCCCTGAAAACGATATAGAACGGCTTCCATTCCTCCCATGCTCTCCTCCTCCTCCTCCTCCGCCACCTCCCAAACACCTTCTTCGATCCTAGCCGGACCTACCCTTTAACCTCTGCGCAAGTACCAGTTGAAGGCGAGCTGGTTGACAGTGGGGGAGAAAGGCGACGGTACTTCGGACTCGCCGGGGCGCGCGACGGGGTGGCGGAGGTAGACGGCCGCGCAAATGTTCTGGTTGACCTCGAGGTAGCGGGGGATGAAGGCGAAGGCGGACATGTAGTTGCGCGGCCTCCAGGGGGTCATGTACGGCTTGCTCGGGTCGATCTCGGTGTCCTCGTGCTCGTCGTTGTACTCGATCACCTTCTTGAGCACCTGGCGCGACTGCTTGCTGAGCTTCTCGCTCAGCTCCTTGGCCGCCTCCTTCTGCCGGATCGCCTCGGAAGGGGAGATGGCGAGGCGGTCGAGAAGCATCGTCAAGTCGTCCACCACGTTACCGGTCGGCGCAACGGACCCGTCGCGTCGCTGCGCTTGCTTGATGGCCGACTTGATGTCGCGCTTCAGAGCGCGCAAGGCTTGCTTGCGCGTCGCGGAGAGCTGGTGGGATGGCGAGTCGGCGATGTGCTTGGCGTACTGCAGGAGACGCTGGAGCTGCAGGAGTTCGTACTTGCGGTTCCAGGCCTCGTCGAACTTGGAGGTGTCGGCTTGCTTTTCCTTCTTGCCGCCGGACTTGGAGGTTGCTTCTTGTGCGTCTCCTTCCTCGGCCTCCTCGGCCTCCGCACCCTCCTCTTCGGCGGCTTCCTCCGCAACCTCCTTCTTGGCGTCCTTCATGGCCTGGGCGAGGAGCTTCTTATCCTTGGGCGCACCGGTCGCATAGAGAACGCGCTCGACATCGACCTGGAAGAGATCGCCGGGGTTGAGAAGGTAACCGGGGTGTTTCATCTGCAAAGGGATCGCGTGGGGTTAGCGCCGGATAAGCAACCTTGGTTGTGTAGGCAACGATGATTGTATAAACTGGTGGCAGAAACGTCATGATGGTAGTGTGTATGTGTACATGCCTTCTTGCCGTTGACGGTGACAGCACCGTGCACGACCATCTGGCGGGCCTGTCTCGCACTGCTAGCAAAGAGGGCTCGGAAGATGGCAATATCGAGGCGCCTCTCGAGAGGTGCAAAGGTCATTTGCTCGTACGGTGTGGCGACCTTCCTGCCCGGGTTGGCGATGACTCGCTTGGGACGTTTTCCATCGTCTGTCTTCTCGTAGGCTGGGGGCTCTGAGAGGCCGGAACCGCGGCCGGCGGCTTGTTCGCTGCCATCGTATTTGGCCATGTACGCCGGGTCCATGTTGACGACGGCCTGTAGGCGACGGCTAAACATGCGCGCCCATTTGCGTTCCTTGATGTGCTCTCCGTGGTATGCTCGTGTCAACGACTTGGCCTGCCATTTCTGCTGGAAAAATGTCCTGCGGGTATTGATAGCTGTTCGGGCCGTGGCCAAGTTGTACAGGTTATATTTGTTCCATGTTGGCCTGATGGGCTATTTAGATGCAGAAGCAGAAGCAAGATATGTCAGCAAAATCAGGAGCAGTGGGTGTTGAGTGTCGTGGCAGTGGGACTGTTAGGTAGGCAATGGGGCGGATGGGTGATGGGGCGGCGACAGCGACGACGGCGACGGCAAACCCGGCGATGGCGGCATATAACATGGCATAGGACATACCTGTTTCTTCAAACTGTGGTACTTGAACAACCTCCGGATCTTCATGTTGGGTGTGTGTCGGGGGGTGGCTTCGGGGATTCGGATCGGACTGCAGGCCCCGTGATTTTGGCGAAGTGGACGGACCGGTTCGGCGCAGGTTGTTTGGAGATTGTCGAGTCCGGGAGCGGTCCGGGGCACCTAGCAGCACTGCCAACGAGGGGAGCTTCCCGGGACCCTTCCACCTCTTATCGGGCGCCGTCCTCCGAAAATTATTTCAGAGCCGAATTGGCACGCGCTCGTCCATTGGTCGCGTTCACGTGAGGAGCTCGGGCCACTGTGCGCGTGAACGCCAGGCCGGATGGTGGGGAACTGGCAGGCACAAGACACGGGAGCGTAGAGCGCATACGGTATAGCTCCGTTTTTGGGGATGCAAGTGGAGTGGGGCTAGAAGCAAGAATGAGCGGTAAATGCTGGCAAAAAATGTCCAAAACCAGAGGCGGTTGGAGGTTGTGGTTGCTTGTTCGGGATTTTGGCACTGGGAGACGGATTGGAAGGTTAACGAACAGCAGCCTCGTTGGTATAGGTATGACTCCAATGCCGACGGAACCCTGAAGAGTCAGATAAGGTAGGTTACACTGCTGTACATTGATACCTAACCGAACTCTCTTTTATTAAAGGTTGACAAGACTCACTGAGATTCATATCCCCCATGTGTGACAGTTTGAGAGTTCATTACCTTTCCATTCACACATTGTATAAAGTGGAAGGTCGATATCGTCTGACTTACACGTCCTAGAGCTTATTGGTGAATGGCTGTCTTTCCTGTCGCGTCGATCAACAATCAACCCCCGCCTGCACCAGGAACTCCCCCACCCTGTAATTCACTTTTTGCGCCTACCGCCCCAAAAACTGGAGTTGCACCTGAAGGACCCACTAAATAATTTCGTCGTTTTGCCTGCTTGGTCCCAGTCTCCAGTGCCCTTTCTACATTTTAACCATCCATCCACCATCATATTTTCTCCATTTACATCCATCCTTTTCTTCAGTGCACGCGTGTCACGTTAGACGGTCAATTGCCTTTCTAGCCGCTTGTACTCGACCTTTTCAAATACCGACAGCCCAAACCGACCTTCATCATGAGCGACACCACCGCCAACACTGAGGCTGCGCCTGCCGTTGCGCCTGCCGTCGAGAATGTTCAGACCGATGTCCAAACCGAGGCCGTAGAGGCCCCCGTCGCTGAGACTGCCCCCGCCGCCGAGGAGGCGCCCAAGACCGAGGATGTCAGCAAGGAGGAGGAGAAGAAGCCCGAAGCTACCAAGTCTATCGACCGCGCCGATTTCAAGAACAACCGCAAATACGATCCCTCGACCCAGCCCGTCACTGACGATCCCAACAAGATCCGCAACCAGGTACGCCCAGAGAATAAAGTTGTCATGTCGCATGTTACCCATGTCTAACAGATAGTCGTAGGTCGAGTTCTACTTTAGCGATAGCAATCTCCCCACCGACAAGTTTATGTGGGAGACGACCGGAGGCGTCGAGAACAAGCCCGTTTCGCTCAAGACCATTTGCAGCTTCAAGCGCATGCAGATGTTCCAGCCCTACTCGGCCGTCGTCGCCGCGTTGAAGGAGAGCGACCTCTTGGAGGTGTCTGGCGAGGAGGGCCAGGAGATGGTCAAGCGCAAGAAGGCGTACACTTCGTCCACTGAGGCGCAAAAGGCCCGTCTGGCTGCCAGTGTTTACGTCAAGGGTTTTGGCGAAGAGACCCCGTCCACTCAGTTCGATATCGAGGCTTTCTTCACCAAGTTCGGTCAGGTCAACCTCGTGAAGCTGAGGCGCAATGAGGAGAATATGTTCAAGGGCTCCGTCTTCGTTGAGTTCAAGACCGAGGAGCAAGCCAACAACTTTGTTGCCCTGAGCCCCGCCCCCAAGTGGCAGGATCAAGAGCTCGTCATCAAGAAGAAGAAGGACTACCTGGACGAGAAGACCCAGCTCATCAAGGAGGGCAAGATGGAGCCCGGTACCAGCAAGAAGAAGATCTTCTTCGAGGGCAACATTAAGGGCGCTGACCGTGGTCGTGGACGTGGCGGCCGCGGCGGCGGCGACTGGAAGTCGCGTCGTGACAACGACCAGAAGAACGGTTTCAAGGGTGGTCGTGGCCGTGGAAGGGGTGGCCGCGGTGGCCGTGGCGGCCGTGGTGGTCGTGACAACCGTGATCGCAACGAGTAAGTAACAACCATCCGATAACTGGATTTCGACCATTGACTAACGTGTGGTACAGCAACAACAACAACAAGCGTGCCCGTGAAGATGACGGAGACAAGACTGCCGAGCCCGCGGCGAAGAAGGTCGACACTAAGACTGAGGCTGCTGCGCAGCAATAGGGGGTCGGCGTTGGTGTGCTCCAAGGTTCTGGGCCGGACAGACTTATGACTTGTTCCTGATGAATAATTACTGAGGCTGTAAAATACTCGGACGGCGTTATATGGGTGGTGTTTGCTTTTAGAGTCAAAAGGGCAGGGATTTCGTACTACAACCTCCAATCTTGACCTCGATAGCGTGGTGTGGTTATTGCATGCAAATATATACGAAGACAAAGGCTGCGGTGTTGGAAGGTGCATTGTATTAGCTATGCTAGACGAGTTGTGTAAGGTATATCATGAAATACTAGATACCTCATCATGTTAGAGCCTCCTATTTTATTGAACCCTGAACGAATCGGTAGTTGTGGTCTCTGATAGCTCAAAGATCCCCCATTGGATTCTGTGCAGATACCAAGACGCGGTCATAGTTGATGGTCTGGGTAGACAATTGGGAGAGTCTCGGGCTGTTTGGGGAACCAGCCATCATTTATTGAATAGAAGTTGGTCGTTTGCTTTCGTTCTAGACATTTCACGATAAGTACGCCTATATTGTCTGTCCTTATCACTAGTCGCCATTAATTAACGTCAGTTCAATGGTGTAAGGTCAGACTGTGTACGTCTCAGTTGGGAATCGGAACGGGATGACCACATGATCTGAAAGATGGAGTCCTCCTGGCAAGTGTATAGTGTACACTGTAGTTTGAGGGGTGGGCGGAACCATGGAATGAGTTGCAGTTTGTCTGAACTCTGGCGAGTCACAAAACCGACAGTGCTCGAGACCCTCTTCTGATACTTGAAAGCACTACTGTTCGACCAATGATGTTGCTGTGAAAACCTCAGTGCGGGTAATGATCTGGATTGCTAAGTTACTAACACCCTCATTACAACGTAAAGACAACCGAAAACATTTACAACTTGCAACTACATACATGGGTTGTAGACGTATCAAACTGCCCACGCACCACAAATTGCGATTTATTGTCGCCCATTACGATAGGGGTTCAAGTCATCTGGTCCCTCATACCCGAACGGCCAATTCCACAGAGTCCTAGCAGCCCTGTCTCTCTTTTTCGAATACCGCAACGAAGCGTAAGCCGATTACTACACTTGCCTGCGTACACACAAGGATATCAACTGGGTAGGGTTTCTACGGAAACAGCACGTACCAGCCGACGTCCAAAGTCTAGACTTCTTGGGGTTTGGGGGTTCACAGTTCAAACTTCGCTTCCTTTATATTGATCAGCAACCACTTCACCTGAGGTCCAACCCGGAAACAGGAGAACGGGAGATCCGGAACATCTCAGGGGCTTATCCGTCAGCCTTTTACCTTTTCAGAACCGCTCGTCTGCTTGTCTGACTTTCCCGCTTTGCACAGGCATTCACTGATCGCTTGTCTCGGTCTCTTATCCTCTTCTCACCCAGCTTTAGTCACTAGACCAAGAGCCATCTTCACCAACTCGGCCGCCCTCATCGCCATCACTGTTGTTGCTTTGCCCTTCCCCAAATTCCTACCCCGGACCACCCCGGATCTCCCTTGCCTCTGTTGGGCTATCTTGACCCACGTCCACGCTGCAGATCTCGGGTGAAGACCGCGGAGCTCTGTTGCCGACCCCGACGGAGCTTCGCAGAGGTTGTCACCGTTGGAATACAAAGTCCGTGGCTTGCGACCCGATAACCGTTCAAGAGATTACCCATTACTTCAGTCGTACACGGTCTTCAGTCTAACACCGGACCCTGAGGCCTGAGACCCCGGGGACTCCCCGCCAAATTCCCCGCAATCCCACACTGGACCCTGGTACAGCCCAGCAGAACTCATCAGTCAGACGGTATCACTCAGGTGTCACGAGTTCGTGCCGAGTCTTGCTTGTTATCACAGTTGCAGCCCTTGCGAGAGCCACTATTACGGCTCGTACTTGGTGGTTTACTAAAGTACTCACCGGCAAATGAACAGCCCGGATGTTCGAATGATGTCCGCTCAGGATGCGCCAGGCTCAGCCGGACTCGCCCCCGACAACATCGCCGCTTCGTTGCCGTCCAAGAAGAAGTCCAGGCGAGGCGCTGACCCTGCCAACCAAAAGCGAAGATGTGTGAGCACGGCCTGCATCGCCTGTCGGAGGAGGAAGTCCAAGTGTGACGGCGCCATTCCGAGCTGCGCGGCCTGTGCCAGCGTCTACGGTACCGAGTGCATCTATGACCCTAACTCGGATCACCGCCGCAAAGGCGTCTACCGGGAGAAGAACGATAGCATGAAAGCCCAAAGCGCCACGCTGCAGATTCTAATAGAGGCCATTTTGAACGCTTCCGAGGAAGATGTCCCCGACATTGTGAGGAGGATTCGTACCTGTGACGACCTTGACGCAGTAGCCGAGTCCATTCGCAGGGACAAGAACATGACAGCAACCAGCGACAACGATTACAGCGACGAGCCTGCTCAACTTGGAGACGACGCTGCCAACCAAGCCGTTGAAGGTGAGAGGGACTTGGCCCGCAAGATGGGAGAGCTGCGTATCGAAAATGGTTCTATCCGGTTTATCGGCGGCACCTCGCACCTCATATATCTCGATGAACCGACAGATGCCCCTGAAGAACCAGAGCTAGAAACTCACCTGTCGACCTGCGATGAAGATCCAGTCACCACCTGGACAGAGGTTACCAAGGATCCTCAGCTAATAACTCATCTCATCAACATGTACTTCAACTGGCACTACCCCTACTTCACCACTCTGTCTAAGAGCCTTTTTTATCGGGATTTCATCAAGGGAAAGCCGGTTGGTCAACCACGCTCCACAGTTTACTGTTCGTCGCTGTTGGTTAACGCCATGCTCGCGCTCGGCTGCCACTTGACGAGCGTCGATGGTGCCTTTGCGATACCTGGGGACAGCAGGACAAAGGGTGATCACTTCTTCGCCGAGGCTAAGAGACTGATCGTTCAAAACGACGAGTATGAAAAACCAAGGCTTACTACCGTGCAAGCTTTGGCACTTATGTCAGTACGAGAAGCAGGCTGCGGGCGGGAAGCAAAAGGGTGGGTATACAGCGGCATGAGCTTCAGAATGGCCCAAGACATTGGCCTAAACCTAGACATCGGGTCGCTGGATGAAAAGGAGGTGGATGCGCGGAGGATCACATTTTGGGGTTGCTTTCTGTTTGACAAGTGCTGGTCAAACTATCTGGGACGGCTACCACAGCTTCCCAAAAACACCTACAACGTTCCGAAGTATGATGTGTTTCCGGACGAAGATGCTGAGCTGTGGTCCCCATATACCGACGCAGGCTTCGACCAGTCATGCAAGCAGCCATCGCGGACACGGGCTATAGGCTTACAGTTGTCCAAACTCTGCGAGATCAGTAGTGATCTCTTACTATTCTTCTACCATCCAAGTCACATAGGAAGGTCGAGCGGCAAGTCAGCTGAGCTCAAAAAGCTTAGCGAACTTCATCGGCGTCTGGAAGATTGGAGGACGGAGCTGCCAAAGGAGTTCGAACCCAAAGATGGGCAGTTACCCAATGTCATTCTGATGCAGTAGGTTTCTCTCTCTCTCTACTTGCCTAAAACTTGGCGGACTTGCTAACCCTTTCACAGCATGTTTTATCATCTCCAGTATATCCATCTATTCCGACCTTTTCTGAAGTACACAAAGGATGCTTCGCCTTTGGACAAGGTCCAGCCCCGAAGAATATGCACAACTAACGCCAATAGCATATCCAAACTTATGCGGCTTTACAAAAAGCTATATAACCTCCGACAGATATGTAACATTGCCGTCTACATGCTACACTCCGCCTGTACGATACACATGCTTAACCTGCCAGAAAAGGCTGCAAAGCGGGATATAACCCACGGAGTTAAGCAATTAGAAGAAATGGCTGAAGACTGGCCATGTGCGCGGAGAACACTGGGTATCATCAGCGTCCTAGGTCGAAAGTGGAATGTCGAACTACCCGAGGAAGCCGCAATCGTTCTGAAAAGGACAGACGAAAAGTACGGAATGTTCAGCACTTCCGAGGTCCCCTCGCCCAACCGGACGGCCCCTTCTCTCGCTCCATCCTCACCGGCACCTCCTTACTCCCCACAAGCGTCTCTCCTTCTTTCTACATCCGCCGCCGCAGTAATGGAACAACAACCGTACAGTCCAATGACTCTATATAGCCACCCAACACCTCCACATCTTGCCCCCGAGAGTATATCCGACCCCGGAATGTCGCCCGATCTCGTCGCCTTCTCTGACCTGCCTGGGACATCAGCTACGCTTATCCCACAACAACAGCAGAGCATGCAGGCCATGCCTGGGTTGAGCCCAAACCACATGCTTCATCAACACCAAGATCAGCAACACCATCAACACCACCACCTACAAAGCCACCATCAATCCCAGCAGCCACATCACAACCACATGAACTACCAGCAGCAGCAGCAGCAGCAGCAGCACAACCTGCTCACCCACCCGGTAAGCGCCTCATCCATGTCCATGAGCGACACCCTCGCCACCATCACAGCATGGGGTATGCCGACCTCTTCACCCGGCAGCAGTAACGGCGGCATGTCCCATCCTCATCAGAGTCAGCAACAACACTATCCAACCATAAATACTGTGAAGCCGACAGCGGCAACAGCACAAACTTTTAGCCCAGTCCAGTTACACGCCAACAATTTGACCAATACAACAACAAGGTCCGCAATGGCCAACCATAACAGCAACAAGAGCATTGGCAGACACGTAAGCCCCAGCTCTATATACGCCATCGACGGACAGGACTGGTACCTGAAAGACGGCGTAACCTGGCAACAAGGCTTTCAAGGGTGGGATTTGGAGGGCGGCGGTGGAGCGGGAACGGCTACAAACACTGGTAGTGGGCCGCCTTCGATTGCTGTTAGTGGTGGTGGTGGTGGTGGTAGTGGTAGTAGTGACATGGCGAGGCTAGCTGCTCAGGGGAATGTTGGTGGAGCTGGACAACAACAACAGCAGCAGCAGCAGCAGCAGCAGGCAAATATGTTCACTTTCCATCATGGGACAGAAAGAGGAGGGGATGGTGTTGAGTCAACGGGAATGGGAATGACTACGGTAGGAGGTGGAGGAGGAGGGTTCGATCCGATGGCGGGGTCAGGGCTGATGGATGACCTGGTCGGTCTGGGGGATTTGGGCAGTTTGGAAGGGTTGGGACATTTGCCTGGATTGGATTGAGTTTGTTTGATCTCACAGTTTTGGAATCAAGGGAATCAAGAAAAATGGGTGAACGGGTGGAGAATGAATGGATATATACATATTTATACCCATTGGAAAGAGTAAATGCGACAGATGTAATCTGTTAAGGTCTCTTCGGTACAACACAATGAGTTGTTTATGTCGCTTTAGTGATTCCACATCGTATAAATCCATTCAAAAATCGCAAAACTTTGGAAACAGAGCTCAGTTGCTAATTTAACTAAGGACGTCCAACTTCCTACACACTCATTCACCCGTCAGAATGGCTCCAATTGGTTCAAGGACGACGACGCACAGTATAAACAGCGAGCAGAAGAAAAAAAGTAGAAGAAAAAAAAAGAACGTGGACTTACAGCTGGGTCGAACGCACAGCGTGCACGAGAGTCGGGGGCAGGAGGGAAGGGAAGGGGAAGGGACCGACAACCAGCCATTCAACCTAACCAGCTTGCCACGGAAGGAACGACGCGGGAAGTAATACATATACCCTACAAGGACTGGATTGCGTCCTGCCTGTAGGTATGTACAGTCTTCTCAGTTGGGACAGAATACTAGGGATGGCATGACAACCAAACCAAACATGATTTACACAGTACGTTGGGTCCTTCTAGTTGAGGTAAGTATCTCGTATTGGAATCAACATCCATTTCAACCTGGAAATTACTTTACTGTACTGTACTCTCAACTCTGCCAGCTCAACAACCCTCACTCGCCCCACGCCATCTTTCTCGCCTCACACACTCCCTATACACTCAATATCCCCATCTCCTCCAAAACCCTCCTATACTCGGCCGCCTCCCTCTCCATCTCCTCCATCCCCCTCGCCGTCCTCGCCGCATCCTCAATGCTAGGGAAACTTCCTCCCGGCTTTGGTCTTGCCTGGAGTCCCGCCATGCCCTTCTCCTCCTTTTCCAAAAGTGCCTCCACCTCTTTCTTTTGGACATCGCTCCCGTTTGTTTGTTGTTGCTGTCCAGGCGCGGCAACATCCTCAGATTGCTGCTGCTGCCCGAAAGTACTGCTGTGCTGAAGATGACCATGCCCACCATCACCATCACCGTTACCATGCCCATTATCCCTATCCCACAACGCCCCTCCCACGTTCCCCTTCTCCTCCGCCATCCACTCGTACAGCTCGTCCGACGGCGTCTCCGCATCCTTGGCGCTCACGTTGCGAATCCGCGGGATGACGTGCACGTGCACATGCCCGACCGTCTGGCCGGCTTCCGGGCCGTCTTGCACGGCGATGTTGAAGGAGCCGCCTGTTTGCAACAACTTCCTATCGTCGTTCCAGTTACCCCTCTCTAAACTCTGCCTCCTCTGGGTCCTCTCGTTGCCGTCGTCAAAGTAATACCGCCCCAACATCCGCTGCACCACCTGCACCGTGGAGAACAGGTCGGTAATCTCGCTGGACGAGAGGTCCGTCAACCGCTTGTGAGGCACCAGGGGGCAGACGAGGACGTGCCCTGGCAGCAAAGGTTTGAGGTTCACCAGGGCGAAAGAGTGAGGGGTTCGCAGAAAGACTTGGTTGGTTACTTTGAAGGGGCCGAAGTGGATGTCTGTGTCGTCGTGGGCGCTGCTGCCCTTGCTGCCCTTGCTGCCGCTTCCGCCGCCGGTGCCCGCATCGGTTGAGGTGCTCATGGTCATCTTTCCGGCTGCTGCTGCGATGTTGCGGGTCGGTGGTGGTGGTGGAGAAAAGCTTAAGCAAAGCGATGAGATGGAAGAAGGTCTTGGTGAGTAGCCGGTGAGTGCAATCCGTGGAGACTGTAATAGAGTCGCAGCGGGGATGGTTATAAGCTGTTTACGTTCTCTGCTGAGGACGCTGGTCGTCTTTCCACTTCTTCTTCTGGTCAAACTGAGGAGCAAACCCTCCGTGTTTCTTGGAACGTGCCTCATGCGCAACCCGCCTCGGTCGGCGTGGATATAGAAAAATGAGGAGGGAAGGTGGGGGAGAAGTGACGCTCTAAGACGATGTATTACTGCGACTTTAAAAGGGGATTTTCGTTTATTATGTTGGTGTAGGACGTTCCGGTAGGTGGGGATGTTGTCTGTCAAGTCCTTGGTTTCACGACAGTCGGGTGTTGGACGATGAGGTACAGGAAGAGTTGGTGTTGCGGTGAGGTAAGAGACAAGAATACAGCTACGGCCCGCTATAAAGTTGTCGCTGACAGCGGTGCCTTGACAGTCCGTGATCGGTGGAGACTGCGGCGCATGGATGATATGCAGCAGTGACGTTACGACGTCAGGGCAGTTCGAGCGACCACAATTCAAAGCAATAGCAGGGGCCGGTCGCGGCTTCCACCAACAACGTTCTCTCACCATTTTCGAGCTACATCTACCTACTGTTGATTTTTTTCATAATACATTCAGATATTACCCCGTCCGGTATTCTCACCAGCTAAGGGTTAAGTTATCAGACAGAAAATATGATCTTTGAGAGGAGGTTATCCATATTGTCCCGGTCCACCCAAATTCCCGACGGCTTCGACTATTACCACCAACTTATACACACATGTACCAAATCAATAACAACGAGAACGGTTCACAACCCATCAGATTGCGTCGAAACAAAAACGAAAAAAAAAAACCACCCCGATATGCACAGCATCTGAGCACTGTAAACAGAAATGAGAGATATCTATCCATGCGTAAATACAACAAAAATAACAAAGGGAAATAGCCCGGAAGAGGCTAAGCATAATATACTTCCTTCTTACTGACCGGGTATAATCTCCTCATCCTCCAACAAATCCTGTCTCTCCCTATTTCGTGTCGAACCCGAGCCAGATGACGAAGGTCTCGGCTCATCATCCTCAGCCATAAATACTATTAAGATTGTCAGCAGGTGCTTATAAAGGTACAAGTCAAGTAGGCGCCAGTTAAGCCGTTGAACATACCATGAGGTCTAACAGTAAAAGACGCCACCAGCGCAGCCGCAAAGATAGAACACAACAACACAAAGAAGGCCTGCGGAAATGTCGACACTGTAGCCGCATACAGCCCATTGAAGATGATAGGAAAGAAGACACGAGCCAGAGCATGAAGCAGCCCAACAGCTCCCAGCAACTGTCCCACCCGCTCAGTAGGAACATGCTTGCTCATAGAAGCTTGAATGGACGCCGATCCGAGACCGCCAAAGGCCGCAACGACGGCCGACAGGATGAACAACTCCTGGGTACGAGCAAAGATGTACCCACCAATGCCAATAACATCGGAAATGAGGGCACTCCGCAAGACCCAGACGTCTAGTTCGTCGGCGCCGACGTTCTTCTCGTCAACCGGCAGGTTACCAGATTCCCTGCTTCGCCGAGCTGCAGGGCGAGTGCGGAAAACGTAGTTGATGACGGGGAAAATACCAACGAGAACGCAGATACGGACCATCGAGACCAGGGACATGAACCGCGAGGCCTCGAGGTTGCCCCAGCCGAACACAAACTCGGTGTACAAGATCAGGATCGTACCGGAGCTCATGGCAGCTCCCATAATGGACATGTCGATGAGTGCCAGCGTGAGAAGGTTGCGACGCAGCCGTTTGTGTTGAGAACCAGATGGAAACAGAATCTTCAGAGGAGCAAAAGGATTCGCCCTGCGGACGGATACGAAGTGCTTGCCGAACGGGACGAACTTGGACACCACAGCTGCCCAACGGGGAATTTCCCCGGCCTCCTCTTGCTCCCTGGCGTACTTCTCGCGCGCTAGTAGCTGGCGCCTCCGGGAAAGTGACTCGGGCGTGACGAAGTAGATGAACAGGATGAAGACGATGTGGCAACCGAGAGTGACGTAAAAGATGGACAGTAAGGATCCCGTCCACTTGACGAAGTAGCCGGCAAGGAGAGGCCCAAAGGCCAGACCGGTGAACAGGCATGCGTGGAGGTAACCGATGGCAACGCCTCGCTTGGATGGGGGCGTACAGTCGCTGGCGTACGAATGGATGAGGACACTGCCGGCAGTAAAGGAACCGGCCAGGCCATCGAAGAAGGTGCCGAGCAAAATCCAGCTGTAGTGGATAGTATCGGGGTACTTTCCGGCCAGGATGACCGTGATCTCGGAAATGACACCGCCGATGGAACAGATGGCCACCATGCGCGTGCGACCATATCGATCCGAGAGGGCTCCGAGCTTGGGTGCGCTGAAAGCACTGATGATGCCCACCAAGACGCTCATGCACAAGGTGAAGCTTGCGACTAAGCGCTGTACGTCGGGGATGTTGCATTGAGGGTTGTTGCCGCCGTGGATAACAGGCGTGAAGACGAAGCTGGGATCTGCTGCTGATCTATCGGCAAAGTACCGGTCACAGATGAGAGTGATGATTCTGGACTTTTGTCAGCTTCAGCATCAAGAATCGGCTCATGCCGATCACTTGCAAGACGGGCGACACAGCTTCGCATCGAGGGGACCCTACAGATTGATCTTGGGGACCAAGGAGCCCCCAAAAGCCAACGTGAACATGGCGTAAGGTGCCACCAGCCACCAGACCTAGGTATGCCGTTAATTAGCAACTAATTATAACTTGGGCCAAAGGGCTGGAACATACAGCTGGTTTCCTCCACCATGGAAGCCCTTCAAAATCCTTCATGACAGCCCAGCTGTCCTTGCGAGGAGCATCGTGGCCATCATCGGAATCCAGGAGGCCCGTCGCTTCGGTGACATTGTCCGTGGCTCCATTCGTCCTGAGGGTATCGCGAAGGCGCTCTGTGGCCAAGCTCGTGCCCTGGGAGTCCGCCATGGTGCCCAGAGTCGATACGGCTCCCGAATCCGGAAACCCATTGTGTGTAGCCATGTTGGGCAACTTCAGCCCAATCCTGGTGTTGATTTGTTGCCGCCTTGGGTTCCACCAGTGTTGCCTTCCGACTCCCGGTTTCCTTGCGTATTTGAGTGTTCTATTCCAAGGGTGATAGCCGTGATGAGCTTACAAGCAGAAGCTATATGTAAAAGAGTGAGGAAAGTATGTGAAGGGAGAATGATATGAACAAGGCAGAGCTGAGCGCGAAGGATCCGGCGTGTAACAAAACAAACGCTATTGCGACATGGGTGGAGCTAACTTTTAATCGTTGGCAATGCTCGCACTAACAGCAAAAAGGCATATGCGCGTTGGGTTTCTTATCTCGTCGCAAGCTACTGCCGGAGTAGGGAGGACGTGCGAGGTGATGGTTTGTTGGCGCGGCCCGGTAAATGTCCCGTAGCCGATGCTGTCGCGGCCGGTCTTTTGATTGATTGATTCCAGCTGGCAGGTGAGATGTTGAATAAGTAAACTATTGACTTTAACGTATATACAATGCCGGATCTGACAGAAAAGCTGGATGAAATGTCATGGATCTTGAATAAAGCCAGGACAACGCCTCGTCTGAGATCCGTGGTTTCGTCAGTGTGCAGCAACCGCCTCAATCGGGAAGGACGATAACGGGAGGGAGGGTGTGGTAGTGTTGGGGGAAGGGGGAGCGGGATCATATGGGAATGATGGGAAATGGAGAGAAATGCCAGGGAAGCAAAGGTAACTTACATAACCAAACTCTTTAACCCCCAATCATAGCATGAAGAAGAAACCTCGCTTCCAGGTTCCAGTCCCATGTGGCTCGAAACAAGACACATCGATACGCTAAAAACGTCCCAGAAGCACGTAAAACCTGGGGACAATAAACGCTTCCGTTCTCGATTTCCACCAGTTCTGATATGACATGTTAGACGATACGTGAAGGTACTTTGATGTGCAGAGGTATCGTGCAGATAAGCGCTGTATCATGTCCTGTGGTCCGATGTCTTGGACGCATCTGTCACAGCAGCAGGTACCTAGAGGTACCTACCTGACAGGACCACGTACCTATATTGCCCCGATCCCGTCTGACAATGGGTTCAGTCGGGACATGTGGGGTTCCGAACCCCGAACCCTCCACGCGGAGATAACGTTCCCTTCGATTGCTGCTGTCTCACCTTGGGACCTGCGTCCACTTCTCATCATGTTTGTTTCCCCATCGTTTTAATATCCGCCATGTTAAGCCACGGTTCTCAGAATCAGTCTCAAACATTTGCTGTAATTACTTACAACGCGCGGTCTTACCTCAGAAACCGAGAGAGTGCGAGCCTGACCCGGCCCAATGGGCCACGCTTCAACTTGCCTATGGAGTGATGGATTGTCTGCTAAAGTTCCGCGGGCGGCCGGTGTATAATGGAATCGATGACGCAGCCATTCAGGCGTTGCCAGGGATCCCAATTCATGTTTCGCGTTCTTCCCCCACGACGGAAAGCTTGTCTCAGATCTGATTGATAAGCCACCACACCACCATCACACAGCATCATGGCAAGGCACATAGGTATCATGGCTAGATGTATAGCACCCAGGAACGGGGTTCTCTGTCGCCTCGCCAACCTGCCTTGTTGACTACCGTTCCAACCTAAGAGTGAAAATTTTCATTTTGTGAATCTCTCCGGACCATTAAAAAGGTCAGTTCGCAGAAAACCAAACGCATGCATACAGGCAGTCTACATCCCTTTTTAAAATCCGCCCGTATTCCCCAATTTTATTTGAGATGTTGTACACGATATTATAGCTTCCATCATTCACCATTCTAGTGACCAGGAAGAATCTCTTGGCCAGCAAAGAACTTCTTCGACGCCGCACACCTTTCGCTCTTGCAGCCGGGGCATCTCAGGCTGTTCTGGTGCGAGCAAACAAGACCGCTATCAAGATGCTCCTTGGCGAGATCCGCCAGGGCCTTGATGAAGACAGGGTTGCCGTTCAGACTCTCCACGCGCTTGACCGTGTCGGGATGTCCAGACTCGCCGATAACCTCCTGGTCAAGCTCGTAAAGGGTTTCGATGTGATCAGACGTAAAGGCGATGGGGATCAAAACGAGGTCCTTCTGGCCCTTGTGGATGTACGACTCGACCGAGGTTTGCGTCTGGGGACCGAGCCACGGTTGGGGGCCGACCTGCGACTGGTAGCATAGCCTGTAAGGGTTGGAAAAGTTGAGACGCTGCATGACCGCCTGAACAGTTGCGCCAATCTCTTGGGGGTAAGGGTCACCTAGGTGGGCAAGGTTAGTATATCCCTTTGCAACTTCAGTGGAGAGGAGATTGGCATACCTCTGTTGATGACAGACATGGGCAAACTATGTGCCGAGAAAAGCAAAACAACATCCTTCCTGCGCTCCTCGGGGTACTCGGCTAGCTTCTCCTCGATGTTCCTCGCAAAGGCCTCGACGAGGCCAGGGTGAGTAGGCCATCTGTCAATCACACTCCATTGAATGGTCCCTTCCTTGCCATCCTCTGATGGCCCAGCCTTGCCCTCAAGCCTCTGCCTCCACTTCCAAAGCTCGTTCAAACTGCTGCCCGTGGTCGAGCAAGAGTACTGGGGATACTGGGTGAAGGCGACAGCGCGGCCACCCCTGCCATTTCCGAAGCCGTCGGCCAGAAGCTTCTTATACATCTCCTCGGTGAGAGGATTGGCGTAGCGGAAAGCGACATAGGGCTTGTGCGGCGCCGTCTCGGGCGAGATCTGGTCCAGAATCTTGCACATCTCCTCGCACTGGTACTCGGACCACTTGCGAATCGGAGAACCGCCGCCGATGGCAGCATACTGCTTCTGAATCTTGGGAGTCCGGCGCTTCGAGATCAACGGCCCCAAGTAGTTTTGTAGCCGACCAAGGGGAATGAGATCGGCATCGGCCTGCACGGGTTGGTCAACAAAAGCAGTCCCGATATAGAAAAGCGGCTCCGGCGAGCTGCGGGCACAAGCATCATCGTCATCACCATCATGATTCATGAACATACAAAGAGTCTGCTCAAAAAGTCTCCAACTTCATCCAAAGTGGACGGGCCGCCCATGTTGAGGAAAACCATTGCTGTGCCGACATTCTTTTGCGTGACGGGGTGAGTTGTTGGCGTGGCGAGCCACCTCATCTGCTGCTGAGCGCATCTCAATGACGGCCGGAAGCTCGAAGACCTCGTGGTCTTGCACAGCTGGGCCGTGGGCAGTCTAAGTGCCATGGAGGCCATGATGTGAGGATACTGAAGAAAGGGAGGTTGGACACAGCTCAGGTCAAGCTCGGCTTTCCAGGACAAAGATGTGAAGACTTGGTGGTCAAAAAGTGAAGATGATGTTTTATATTGGTAGGGACAGAGTGAGTGACGCTGCGTGAGCGGGACGGGACGGTGGCTCCTTTCGGACGTGTTAAACTCGGCCGAACAGCTTGCGAAAGCTGCGATCTTGTGGGGTGATGCCGGGACTGCTGCAGGGGTAGCTGTATCGAACCCCCATATCTCTGTTTGCTGACCATTTCTCAACTGCCGTCTGGCGGTTCTCAGGGGCGTGGAAGTCTAGAAGCACGGACCACACATGTGCCTGAAAGTGCAACTGGCATTGATGGCCGAGTCGAGTTTCTTGGAGCCAATCAAGTTTCACCTTTGACAGCTCTAAAGCTCCAGGTCACATGCCCTGGCGTTTAGGCAGTCGCGCCCCCATCGCGTTTGCATATGAGATCATCGCCTTGACAACCGCAAATTCCCATTCTTACTGTCTACTCGTCTCATATCTTCCCAAGGCCATTTTTCACTTTCACTTACGTGTAAACAAGATTAACTCGAACCAGAGCTCATATTTCCGTCACGATGTCTTGGCGGAAAGATGATGAAGAAAGACCAGACAGCGACGAGGGCGACGAGGAGTTGGACGAGAACGTTAGCAAACACCAACATTATCACCATCATTTACTGACTTGCTGACAATGAGGCCAGGACTACAAAACACAAAAAGACGCCGTACTATTTGCCATCGAGGTGAGCAAGTCAATGTTGAAACCACCAGCGGCTACAGGGGACAAGAAAGCCGACAAGGACTCTGCCCTGACAGCAGCCCTAAAATGCGCCTACCAAATCATGCAGCAACGAATCATCGCTCAGCCTAGAGATATGATGGGCGTTCTGCTCTTCGGAACAGAAAAGTCCAAATTCCGCGATGATTCCGGCAATGGCACAGGATATCCCCATTGTTATCTGCTGTCCGATCTCGACGTGCCCGGCGCCGAAGATGTCAAGAAGCTTAGGGCTTTGGTAGAAGATGACGAGGATGAAGACGAGATAATGGTTCCATCAAAGGAGCCGGTGATTATGTCAAACATGCTCTTCTGCGCCAACCAGGTCTTCACCACAAACGCCGCCAACTTCGGTTCCCGACGCCTGTTCATTGTCACCGATAATGATGATCCTCATGCTGGTGATAAGCAGGCAAAATCATCCGCGGCCGTTCGTGCCAAGGACCTTTACGACCTTGGCATTGTTATCGAACTTTTCCCCATCAGTCGGGAGGGCAAGAAGTTCGACTTGTCCAAGTTCTACGACGTAAGAAAGCTTGCTCGCCCAGTTACCGAACAATGTGTTAATGCGGAATAGGATATTATCTACCGTGACCCGGCGGCTGAGGTAGGAGAGTTAGGAGGTCCGAAGACTTCCAAGGCTGGTGACGGTTTGACTCTGCTCAACTCCTTGATCTCCAACATCAACTCGAAGCAGACCCCCAAGCGGTCATATTTCTCGAACCTGCCCTTTGAACTCGCCCCAGGTCTGACCATCTCTGTCAAAGGGTACATCCCTCTCAACAGACAAACACCTTCGCGCTCATGTTATGTCTATGAAGGAGAGGAGCAGGCCCAGGTCGTCCAATCTGAGACTGCACAGGTTGACTTTGCTGCTCGAACTGTCGAAAAGACCGAACTGAGAAAAGGCTACAAATTTGGCGGTGAGCACATATGCTTCAAGCCCGAAGAGCTGGCAGAACTCAAGCAAATGGGCAAGAAAACACTGCGGATCATTGGCTTCAAGAAGCGGTCCAAGATCCCGTCGTGGGCCTCGGTCAAGAAATCCTTATTCATTTTCCCCAGCGAGGAGCAATATGTTGGCTCCACTCGCGTGTTCTCTGCTTTGTGGCAGAAGCTCCTCAAAGATGACAAGGTGGGTATCGCCTGGTTCGTCGCAAGGGAAAATGCCCATCCCGTCATGGTAGCCATATTCCCTTCCGGAAACCCGGATGACGAGGAGTCAAACACTCCATACCTACCGGCAGGACTTTGGCTCTATCCCCTTCCGTTCGCAGATGATGTCCGAAGCGTGGACCACGTAACGGCGCCTGCCAGACCCGCGGACGAACTTACAGACCAGATGAGACAAGTCATCCAGAATTTGCAACTTCCAAAGGCCATGTATGACCCGCGCAAGTATCCAAACCCCTCGCTGCAATGGCACTACAGGATTGTACAGGCTATAGCACTGGACGAAGAAATGCCCGAATCTATGGAGGATCTCACGTTACCCAAGTACAGGCAGATTGACAAGAGGGTTGGCGGTTACCTTGCTGAATGGAAGGAAATGCTGGCAAAGAAGGCTAGTGATCTTCAGAACAACAGAGCGTTCAAGCGGGAGTTCGAAGATGACGATGATGAAAGGCCAGCAAAGCGCGCGAAACCAACCAAAAAGGCGACCAGCGGTGGTGGCGGACCGGCCAACAGCAACGCAGACCTGAAGAAGGCATTCGAACAGGGTATGCTCGGCAAGATGACGGTCGCTGAGCTAAAGGACATCATGGCAAGCAAAGGTATCAGCACTGCTGGTAGGAAGGCTGAGCTAGTTGAGAGGCTTGAACAATGGATTGAGGGGAACTTGTAATTGTGAGATTTTTTTTGATTTTTTGATTTGTTTTTGTTAGCAGGCGAACGGGAGTGTAGGAGTCTTGTTGTTGTATTTCGTGATGTTGATTGAGGATTTAGGCCAGACGTTGTCACGGGACAGTAACAATGTTGCTGGTCAAAAAAAGAAAGGCCATAGCGCTCGAGCTGGACATAAATAGGTCTCATCCATTCGGTTGTTAAATGAATTCTCATTCTCAGTCCTCTGCTTGGTCCCATCGTGACGCCGTTAAGGAAGATGGAAGAGTTCCCTCTACCAAAGTTGTCCTCCTGTTCCTTGAAAGGTAAGGTAGGTATAGAAGGGCCGGGAGTTAGAGGTAAACCCTGACCCTGCCCACTGATGTTTCTCGATACCTTAGGTAGGTACTGAGGAGACCACTAACATTGAAGAACAATGCGGCTGAATACAGTAAGGTAAGGCCCCAAAGCACGGTCCATAGCGGGCCACTGCTTGTGTTACATTCCCAGTCGGAATTCTTACAGCGATACCCGGCCCGCGCGTGCACCCAAAGCGAACCTCAATTGTCTCCACCATTTTCGAGCTGCCCGCGTTCCTCCAAAGCAGAACGACGCGCATGGCGGGCGGGAATCATTGCGACAACCACTTCAATTTCTCATCCCGACCACCAACATTTCCTGCGACGGCTGTTCGACTGCCGCGACGGCTGTTCGACTGCCGCGCCTTTTGTCGTCGGTCATCGCAGCGGTCACTTAGCGAAACTCGGCGTCATTTCAACCTGGTCTGACTCGACCCGTCAAAACACCAAACAAAATATCACCACCGTGGTCAGAAATCAATCACAATGGAGGCGTTGCTAGGCGCCTCCAACTCCAACCCTTCGTGCGGTTCCATCCTCGAGCTTAAGGAGCAACTGCACAGCGTGTTCAGCACAAAGGTCACGGAAAAGAGAGCCGAACATGTTTCAGTCACGCTGGAGTTGCGCTCAACCAGCGTGTTCCACATCCCAGTCACCGAGCCCGAGAACGAACAACTCGAGCAGGCCGTGTCGATCAATCCGTCGTCGGGAGGAGCGCGATCCAGCGTAGAGCCGGGTGCACCTGGGGGAGTAGACGCCAGCGGCAATGTCAACGGAAACCAACCAACGCGGCAGATCAACGCGATCGATGCGTTGATCAACCAGCCCTCGGACGACCACGTCTTGCAGAAATCGGTCGCGAAGCATATCATCACAACACTGGGTGAAATCGATGGAAGTAGCTGGACGGTGCGACAGGTCTCGCGGGGCGAACAGGGGTGGACATTTGGATACATCTGCAAGGATTCATGGCAAGCTTGGAGTCGCCAGAATTCTAAGAACCCTGCCCGAGCCGTCATCGGCGAATGGAGTCAGAAACCAGATACACAGGATGCTGTTAACCTGAGTAAGTCCTCGGCTAGTGTTTGCTACTCAGCACCAACATGGGGGAACTTTGAGCTAACTGGACATACAGGTCGTCCGGCTTTTGACTGCAGAGGATCGGTAACGATTGCGTTCCTGAAGGGCCGCAAAGTCATTGAAGTCAAATACGACCACACACCTCTTCACAAATCAGTAGGACAACTTATAACACTCCTAGTGCCTCCCCCGACTCCTCGTGAACCCAAGCATGTGCAGCAACGAAAAGAAAAGAAGTCCAAGGAGCCGAAGCCACCCAGGCCCCCTAAACAGCCAAAGGCTCCCAAAGCACCCAGACCCCCTAGGGATCCCAATGCACCGAAACCACCCCGGAGGAAGCGGCCCGCAGGCGAAGGTGGTGCCGAAGGAGATGGTACTCAGCTCAAGAAGCGCTGCAAAAAGAAGGACGCGGCTGCTGTTGGTCCCGATGGGAGTGTTCTTCCCCCAGAGATGCCAGGTGCACTACCAGTCGGACAAGGGTCTGAACGACCTCTTTACAACAGCCATGCAGGCGGCGATACTCAAAATGGCTACGGCACCTATCCGGAAGGGCTCGTCGGTCAACCCCCGGCTGCGGCCGATGAGGGCGTTCATGTTCATTCGATTCTCAATATTCCTCCTGCCGAGGCAGCTAGGCGTCGCACGGTGGCCATTGATCTACTCGAGTCGGGCGGCATTGACCCGAAGACCCTTTCCCCCGAACAGTTCAACATCTTCGCCAACCAATCCCCTGAACTCCAACAGGAGTCTTTGACTATGCTCCAGAAGTACGGTGCCGAGCGACTCCGCATCGTACACCCCGAAAAGGACCAGGGAGGTAATGCTCAAGCTGCTCCTGCTGCCCAGGCAGCCGCAGCACCTTCGACACCGCCGCTTAGCGCCCCGAAGAAGAAGTCTAAGAAGAAGAAGTCGGAAGCGGCGGACACTCAGGAGGCCGCTGCCCACTCGGGTGGTAAGAAGAAGAAGAAGAAGAAGAAGAAGGAGAAGATCACCAGAGGCAAATGCGATCCTTGCCGCGATCGTAAAATACCGGTTCGTTTCACCCACATCCCCTTATGTTTGGTTTGTCTCTGACCAGTCTACAGTGCAACAAGGAGAAGCCATCTTGCTCCCAATGTACGACATTGGGGTTGCAATGCCATTATGCTCTCGAGAGGAAAGTGAAAGACGTCCTTGCAGAGTCAGAGGCAGAGGGAGAGGCCCAGCCCGAGCCTGTAGTCGTCGAGGCCGAGGATGAGCCGGAAGGCTTAGGGTCGCCTGGTTTTCACAGTGAGCCAGTTCACCATGAACCGGCTAGCCATGAACCCTTTAACCAGGAACAAGACAATCATGACTCGATTGATAATGGGCCGCATGGACTGCCGACATCAGGGCTAGTCTCGCCTCAACCGGAATCATCCACAGCATATCATCAACCTTCCGATCTCTATTCACATTTCAACTCGACGGTCGACACTTCAGCTACTCCCGAAGTAGCTCACACCAGCGTCACACCTGCAACGATGGACTATTTGCATTCCTCGGTTAATGACAACTCTTTACACAACTTCTCATACAACCAACCTCAGCCTGAGCCCGGGCCGGCACCGGCACACGTATCCGAGCCAGAGCCGATTCCTGAGCCTGTACCAGTTGTTGAGCAACCTCCCCCCGTTCAGCGCACATCCCATTACGCTCAGCAGTCCAGCTCAAAACAGTCCGGCGGTAGAACAAGACGCAGTTTGCCTTCAGGGCCATCATTGCAGAGCGGCGCCGCGAACGGGCACACAACGCATGCTCCGACAGAAAGCTGGACTCCTGTGCCGGTACCTGTTATCCCGCCCCCCTACCAGAGCAAGCCCTCTCCTAGGGCTTCGAGGGCAAGGAAACCAGTACCAGCTGCGCCTCAGGCGTCGGTGCAAAACACGACGCAACATAGAGCCCAGAATACTGTACAACAACCGGTGTCGCAAGCGTTTGACGATATGCGGCAAACCACAAGCTGGACACCGGTCCCTCCGCCTACTATCCCTGTCCAAAAGACAACTCAACAACAGGCGCGCACCTCGCCCTATCAAGCAGCAGCCCAAACCGTTCGTACATCGTCTCGGCAGGGCAACCGAAGCCAGAACCATACACCGGTACAACAGCAGACCAGTGCGTCAGGACGGCATAGCCAGCTGCAAACTTCCCAATCCCATACGGACAACTCTGGTTACCAGTCCAACACAGGCGCAACAGCCTCAGGTTCGGTTGGTAATTACGATAGCTACTCGCAATATCCTACGTCTACTAGCAGGACCGAAGCCACGAATACTCGTATGAACTATGAACCCTATACTAATCCGCCATCTACTACGTCCAACTCTTATTCGTCCTACGACACTTACAATACGCGGTCAAGCACCAAAACGCCAGTAGCAAGCTTGTCAGCAGCGCAGCCGACAGCTTCCTCATACAACACCAACACTGCAACGGCGGCTCCAAGTACGTCACAGTGGGGTTCAACTACATCTGTTCCGCAAACGCGAAGCACTACTCGCTCGACTTACGATACGAACCCCTCTACATCACCTTCAAACTCGTATAACATGCCCTCTTCGAACACCCAACAATCCAGCTCCCTCCAGGGCTTCAACGTCAGGTCGCAATCCATGACCCAGACCAGGTCCTCCACCGCCGCCTACGCTCAGCAACAGCAACAACATCACGTGCAACAATCACAAGCCCAGCAGCAGCAGCGACAGCAGGTTCAACAGCAGCAGCCAAGCTACAACAGCTACACAAGCCAATCACACACCACGAGCACGCAGCAGCAGCCACAACAGCCACAACACCAACAGCAGCAGCAGCAGCAGCAGCAGCAGCAGCAGCAACAGCAGCAGACGCAAAACTGGGGTTACGGCGGCTTCGGCTCGACCACCAACCCTTCATCGGCCGGCTACGGCTCCACCGGAGCCAGCAGCAGCGCAAACAACGGATACTCGACGGGAGTCTCGACGAGCTCGCACGCCCACAACGCGGCGGCCGCCGCCGCGACCAATGCTGCGGCGTACGGTAGCCACCAGCAGCCTCATCATAGGTCGATGAACCTGTCGAGTAATACGTACAGCAGCCACATTGGAAACGAGGACCAGGTGCTTTATGATTTGCTCAGGCACCCTGGTGCTTAGTTGGATGACTAGGGCCGAGCGGGCGACATATAACAAGGTCGGTTGTCTGAAGTGGACGTGTACGGGATGGTTGGATCCTGGCCGGAGGTGTAAGAAGCTGGACTGAGGAAGTCATGGAGAATTGGAGAATGGAGCTATTGGCGATCCTGGTGTAATCACTTTTGCTTTCGGGAAAGTTGAGAATGGGTTGTAGTAACTGTGTACGCAATGAAGTCACGTATTTTTTAGGATGGAATATATTGGTTAGAAGGGTAGCTGGCGGCGGGGCGGATGAAGCAAAAAGTTTTTTTTTGCTCTTCTGACAGCAACTTCGACTGGTCTGCGTGCTCGGCCCCAGATTCTTGCGCGGTGGTGGATATAAGGCTTTCTTGTAGGGATAGGGTGGGTTTGGGTGAAAACAGAGCTCACAGGTAGCGCTTTTCTTGTTTTTGCTCTTTTGGTTTTTTCTTAGCATACTCAGGTCAACGTGAGGACCGAAAGAGGACGGGAATCCTCCCCTTGCCTTGTCTTGGTGTTGAACGATGGAATCACCATTGAATAAATGTTTGTCTTTGCCCATGGAACCCACCTAGGTGCCTAGCAGTGAACACCCTCTCTCTCTCTCGTCTATCACCATCACTCCTGTCTGACTGTGAGTCTGTCCATGTCCCCCGATCAAGAGGGGTACAGGCAGGTCGACAGATGAAGAGATCTTGCAAGAAGCAAGATTTTTTTTTTTTTCCAAGACTTGACGCCGGCAGTCAGCTCAGCTCAGCTCAGCTCAACTTGAGTCAGCTCGCTTCATCGCCGCTACAAACTCCAGGTTCCCTAGTCAGAAAACCCAATTCACTACGTGGTGCCACCAGTTAGTAAAAGCAAGTAAGCAGCAACTACGTTAGTTCATATGAACTATTAGTTTTGCTAGTAACGGACCTGGCTCGTCCGCCCGTTCACGGTCATACCTTGTCAGCCCTAGGAGGTTATGATGTGGAGGATTGTCGAGTGGATTGAGTACCTGTAGGTAGGCTATTCCAGTTCTAGAATAAGTCGGGATGGGATATTGATGGGCCTGGGTAAGGCTGGGTTGGTTTCAATGCGTTGCGATGGTTCGCAAGTTACGAAACGGGGTATGTACCCCGGAGGATGTAACGGCGGTTCGGTAAGCAGAAAATACGAATTACACATGTGTGATGAGAAAAGTCGGTAGTGAGTCAGATCGATGGGGTAGTAATATAGGATAGGTATTGTAAGCAGAGATTTTCCCGAACCGAACCTATGGTCTAGGCTTTTTCGCTGCTGATGATTGAGAGCAACCTTTTTTTTCCCCGTGTGTGTCCCCATACATACTTCCGGTGGGTGTATGACTGTATTGTATGTAGTGTGCGATTCTTGCTCACAAGCTTCAGGCAAAATTCGGTTCGGTTCATATGTAACCCAGGCGTGCCAGGTTTGGTAAACCGATTCGACCGAGCACGTATGTGTATGTAACAATATGGTTGCGAGTGATACTAGGTCCCCAGACCCAACTCCCCGGTGCGCCGGCAGATGAGATCTTTCAGGTTGATGAACTTTTGATCAATCTTCTCCAGGTTTTTCAAATACTCCTGGGTTTTCGGTTTCGGGAGTTGAAAAGGGGAAGAAAAAAAAGTCAAGGAGCAAACCTCCGTTGTCGGGACCAATATCGTGCGTTCTGCATGTAGGTAAGCAAGCTATGTGGGTAAGAGCTTTCCGAACGTTTGTGTGACCAACAAGCCAACAAGTCAGCTAGCTACTTAGGTGGTGAGATTTTGGGAGGGGAAATATTGAGAATAGGTAACAGTGGACGAACGAATCAATAATAAACGCCGAATGGTTCAAGACGGACACACGATGACATGCTGTGAAATGTCGTCTCGATGAATTGTGAGCCAACAAGTGTTCGCCCACTCGAGAAAGTGGTTCCCTTTCAAGTGGGAGTTCTCTTGTTCATTCACTCATCAACAACTCCGCCGTCAGAGTGAATCAAAACCAGTCGACGTCGGAACTGGAGAAGAAACAAAAACGAGCAACACAAACCCATCAGAGCCAGGCCACCCAAACAAGACGGCGGTACGGGGCCCTGTATGTCGGCCTTGTCCACCAGATCGAGCCTGGTCCCGCCGGAAGAGGCTGAAATTAGCGCCGCCGCAAATCGTCGGGAATGGTTACAATGGCGCCGCCGTACCCGTGTACGAGCCGTACCGGGGCACCTCAGAGAGAAGAGAAATAAACGCCAAGGCAAGGGCAAGGGCCACCGCGAGCGACGACCACCGTGACTCGCTGTGGTGCGAACTGCGAACAGAACCTCTTCCGGGAACCGAAAGAGCCGCCGAGATGGTATCCACTGTCGTCGTAGTCCGTGGGCCTTCCTCGCTTGTTTGGTGAGGTGGCCGTCCGCTGTCCGTCCTGTCCTCATCTCGCGACAGCAAGGGACATGGGGGCAGTGAGGCTTTGCGCCGAGCGCGCTTGCTCTGTTGGGAGATCGCCAAATACGAGCGGTAGCTTCCGAATACGTGTAAGGAGAAGACTCCGCTACATACCTAGGAAAGAGGGACCCTGAATCGGGATTGCCTGAAGCTGAAGATTGAAAAGCCTCTCATTTTTTCATATTTCCATATTCCCGGGACGTTGGGTCGCTCTTTCTGTGCAACCTCTTTCTTGGCTTTTTTGTCTCACTTTTTTTTTCTTCCTTTCCTTTCACCCTTGTTCTCTTTTTAGGGCGGTCTCATGGTCTCACCATTGCTGTGGTTCGGCCGCTTGGCGCGAGTTGGCGGTAGGCTCAGCACCAAAAAAAAAAAAAAAAAAGCAAAAAAAAAAAAGCGTGAAGATATCCTCTTGGGAATACTTATGCACTGCGAGCCAATGCCTGACTAGTCCAGGGAAGAAAGGCGTGGGTATGAATGCCCTGGCTGCAGGTTGTGGCGCTCTGTTCAGCAGCTGAGGTTGTGTGTGGTTACAAGACGCTTGACTTTTGAGTACTGAAGGTGGAAAAGGGAAATCCGAGGGATGGTTTTCGGTAACAGTTGCCTGGAAAACGTTAGTTGTAACTGGTGAAGGCGGGGTTATCCGTCATGTCTTGCTCTGACCGCTCTATATTCAACTTTGGAGTTGAATAATCCCTAAAGTGCCAAACGACGTGATAGGTTTGCCTTGAGCCATCCCTTCCCGTTTGATGTTTGATCGTCGGCAGACTCGGGCGATGTAGACATGCGAACCGTCGGAAGAAAGATGTTAATGGTGGCCATGGCTGAAAGTGACGTGATGTTTTCTCGTGAAAGTTGAACAGGCAAGAGCCGATCAACCCGACCACACCTTTCTGCGCCTACCCAAAAGAGACGCACATGTGTCAAAACGTGAAATAATGTAAACAGGAAGGAACAGTGGGTGTTGTGGGGGGCTGAGGTTATTGACAAACGGCAGCCACACATCCGCACAGATCCTACCTCTAGTGGAAAGAGCAACTGAGGAGTATAGAACGGAAAGACCAATGCTCGTTGCGACGGAATGATCAATCTTGGTTGATGATGTTTTGTTAAATGAGCCATCTTGATGAACCGGCCTCAACCCTTGGTCATGGTTGTCCCGTCTTTGTGACGTATCTGTCGGTATGAGCCGCCACAGCAGCATATCTGGACATACCGCTGTATACAACTGAAGTTATGCATGCGGGCGGAAGGGTAAGCGACCGCTGTATAGGGCTTGCAGCTCTCGGTAGCTACCCCTTTCATCCAAATTGGGGAGTCGTCAGCCTCCATCCACCTTTTCACTCTAACAAGTAATGAATCACCTGGAACGGGGCAGAGAACAAGTCCATGATCTTCCCGCCCCTGGCATCCATATCGATTTCACTCTGCAATTTTCAATCTTTGCCGTCAGCCGTTGTGATCGAGCCGCCCCGAACTTTGTTTCTTTTCGGGATGCCAGTGGCGTTGAACATGGCAGGCCCCACCGAGCGACACCTGCAGGTCCACTGACTGAACATTCCGACATTCAATTTTCAAGCGATCCCAAAGAGTTCTGGCCAAGGCGGTCCGGCTCTCTGCCAATATGTGCCACGGATGTGCCAATGGCTCCGAGCTCCCTCTCTTTCCGACAGCCAGATACCGTATACCTACCAGGTGAGCCCAGGGAAGGAAGTCTTGTGAGACACAAACGGACGGGAAACCGATAATGCTGGCATGTCTGAGCCTCGGAGTTATCCCAGAAATGCCTACCTCATGCTGTGTCATCTGCCGACCAGGCCGCCTCGTGTGCCTGGTTGCCCTCTTTGGATATGAAAGGTGAAAGGGTGTGGAGGTGATCATGGTGGAATCCGCACCGTATCCAAGACTGGAGAAAGTGCGAGCAATCGTCAATTCTTGTGCTCATTGTGTACGGGATATTCGCCATACCCGCCGTTCGCTGAGCAGTTTCTAGGCGGCCAGGAACACAAACTCAGAACTCGTATCCCTGATGGACTTGGGATGCTTGGCCCTGGAGTGCCTGACAATCTGACAATCCTGACCTGAGATGGCATCTCACAGGTTCGACAGGACATCGGATGCTGCAGCGCACGGTGGGATCTGATGTCGTTAGTGGAAACAGGTTCCATCGATAGTGACCCTCAGTTCTCAAGTTAGAAACTGCCACCTGGGCAGACTGGGCCACCATTGCCCTTTCGCAGACCGAAGAAGCAAAGTGGAAAGAGCAACGGCCGCCTCTGGAGATCGATACTGGAGTCATTGGAGTCTTTCTTTCCACTCAGACGGGAGTCGGGTCTTTTGCTCGTCCGGGTCGCGCTTCCACTTTTCTCTGCTTGTCGGCTGCTCCTGCTGGGCCTGCTGGAGCCCCATGCATCTGACAGGGGCTGCAGGGCAGGGCAGGCAGGGGGCAACGGGCGAGTGAGAGCGAGCGAGATGCCGTGGTCGTGGATGCCACTGGATGCGACGGCGAGGGACCAGGACACCACCACTGGACACTGGACCACCACCACCACTACAAACAAGGGTGAGGGTTGGTTCCATTGCGGACAAAAGGCGGGCCAGGCACAAGCACCATTCTTATTACCACCCTGCAGACACGACTCTAACGACGTGCGCTAGGAAACATCTGACGAAACGACCGCCAAGCCAGCCTCCACCAATATCCCGGCCTCCATCCCGGCCTCTGGAATCCTGGCCGCTGTCTCCAGTGTTAGACTCCTCTCTGCATCCCGGAGAAGAGCTGATGTTGACCCTAAAGTTGAACCATTGCTGAAGCTGCGTCGCTTGGCCTCCATCTCGGTCGAGGTACATGTACATATATGCCCACC